GTTTTGTAATATATCATCTCTGCCGCCTTGAAATCTTACGATATGAACGCGTTGTTGCGCCGGAAGTGCCGCCTTTGCTATAGCAGCTTGAAGTTCAACCAATTGAACTTTAGCTTTGATATTTGGAACCAGCTGGAACAACGAGAAAGCGTTTTCAAAGTCTGAAAATCATGTTCTGCGCGATGGTTGTAACGAATGGAAGTTTTCATCGAATGAACGAACAACGAATAGTTTGTGAAAATTTTCGAATGAACGATTATTATTCAAATTCCGATTTTTACATTACTCGAATTTGAATATTCGAATATGGGCACATTCCAAAATTGAATTTTTTGAGTATTCGAATAACCGAACTTCATCATTCGACTACCCGAATAGACGAATAAATGGATACCTTCGAATATTCGGATGCAATATTCGAATATTCAGACACAATAGTTGATTATTCGAATATTCGAACAACGGGTCAAACCTTTTCGAATGATCGAATACTCGAATAACTGTCTTTTAAGAATCCTTGAATATTCCAATATTAGAATAAGTATTTTTTCGAAATGTCTGAACGACTTATTCGAATAAAGACATTTTCGTTTATTCGACTATTTAAATAATCGAATAATCGCACACTCTCAATTATTCGATTATTCGAGTACTCGAATGTTCGAACAGTCGAATATTTTGAATAGAATCTTCGAATACAAATTTTCGGTTCCAACCATAATCTGCGTGAGTAATTTCATTGACGGGTGGGAATTGAATCCGGACAATGGGTGATTCAGAGTTTGTGTTATTCTTTTTTACCAAGGATCCAAAAAATTCCTGCAGTATTGCATAGGTTTTTTGGCTAGACCTACTGTTAAATTATAATTGTTCGGCATGAAAGTTCAACTACTTGAAATTCAAGAAAGTTCAACCTACGTACTTTTTCGTGATTTCTGGTAAAGCAGAACACTGGACGCTCGTCACTGATCATTTGCAAGAAATCAAGCGATCACTGAATCTTTAGTGCTGAGAAATTAGATATATGCCTTACAGAACCTATGCTTAACTATAGCACACTTAAGCAAAATGAAAAGTTACAAAAATGAGTTGTTGAAGTGATTGATTCAAATTTCATTTCCATTTTCGAAGTAATCATGGAAGGAATATTCATTATAATATATTCAACATGAAGCTGATAGCTTAAACATACTCCAAAAATTTATCTCAGATGTTCCATCTTCAACAATGGTTTCGATAATTTTCTCTGCAGCTGCATATTCTGTAATCATGAAGCTTTTCATTGGTTCCAGAGAAAAATAATTCGAAATTTGAGCATAGTAACAGCAGTTTACCAAAGTAACACAGATTTGGGCACCATAATTGTTCCTCCAAATCATGATGTAATTTGGGTAAACAATTACGGTGCTCAGATGTGTGTTAGTTTGGTAAATTCTGGAACTGTACGCGTCTAAGCGCTCGAATCACTACGTTGCGCTACTTTACCGTCTGCGAACATGTCTCATTCAGTCGGCTTAGGTGTACCTGCACACAGAGTTGACACCATGTGGAAGTTCCGATATTGAATCAGTGCCATTCGAACATCGATTGACATGAACTTACATTCAAATGGTGGTCGCAAAAACTGAGAAGGAAAAAATGGTGTTACTTTTATGAAAAGTTATCTTCATATATGTCATTATCTTGATACTTATATGAAAATAGCTTTGATTCTCAGAATAAATGCTGAAAGATTACTTCTCAATTTTCGACACTTTATGAATCCGATGGGTTCTAAAACTTTTCAATCCAAGGATTTCATTGTGACAAGAGTTTCCAGATCGACCGTTCATATTATGTGATCACATAAGCAACAAATTTTTTGCTGTTGAACCGATGGCTTATGTGCCATCATTAAACCCTTTGAGATCGCAAATTCTAGGCATAAATTCTGATGCCAAAATAAGAATTTGTCGCTTTTTCAGGGTCAAATGGCTTCACACTTTGAGTTCGTGACAACAGATCTCGATAGGTTAAAGTTTTATTTAATAACTTCGAAACTCTCGCATTGAACGAGGATTCTGGTATATTTCTGAGCTGAAAAGGAGGTAGGCACATGAAAGAAAGTGGTCTGAATTAGAATTCCACTTTTTGCCGCGTAAATCTCGCGCGAAGTATGGAAATTGAAGTGCTTTTTTGTATCACAGTTATTGCAATGTGAAAGTTCGTGAAAGCTTTCAGAAACCATGAAAATTAATTGCGGTAACCAGAAGAAGATCACTTTTTCTGATTTGACTCGTCGTTGCCTGTTAAGAGAATATCACCTATTTTTTTCCACTATTTTCCAAATAGGTTGCCGACTCCTACGACCTTGGTCACCGCCTCAAGCACTTCAGCTGTCCGGATATTCTTAATCGTATTTCCGTAACTCTTTGGATCTTCCAAAACCTTTCAAATCAAAAAGCCTGACTTTCCAATCTCTTGATCTCTTGGAAAATTCTATGATCTAAAAGTTTTTTCGGATTTTGATTTTGAAAAAGAAATTTCACAAGGATCCGAAAAACCATCAAATGTTTAGAATTTGCTTCCATTCAAAAGGTTTTTATTGAATCGCCGCGACTGTGCGTTGGGGTAATTCACTGAAAACCATTCCTATAAGAGTAGATTTTGAATTTTCGGTGCTTTTTCGAATCTTTGTGAAATTTCTTCTCCAAATATCAAAATCGATCACGAAAAAATCTTTTGAACGAAGTTATGGATTTCCGACGGTTTCGCCAAGATTAACACGTCGGAGACCGTCTTCCACCAAAATTAAAGGCTTAGTTGTTCGGGGTACGCAAGATCAAAGTTTATGCTTATGTCTTACTTTACACAGCTATTTCAGTTCTCACATCTTGTATGCGTGCACAGGATAGTCGCAGAAAGCTGTCACGAGAATCACAGCCATTTTTATCAAATCTTTTCAATGATATCGTCATTTCACTCTTAATAAAGAAATTGGTAGAATCCAACCAGTCTACAGTAATTCATAGGTTCTGTTTCAATTTTGCATACGTTTTTCAATCGTCGCAGCTCTATTGCTTTTTTTTCGAAGAATTATTGAACACTTGAATTGGCCCGTATTCTGGCCTGAGCATGCATGTTTGAGGGTCTGTGTCCCTATGAATGTTGCAGATATACGGGTAAAAATGCTGTGAGCACAGCGAACTGAAATTGTAGAATATTCAAAGTTAAATTAGCTTTATTGGAAGTTTTCTATATAATTAGTAATTACTTTGTCAGCTCCATACATTAGTTCTGTAGGTAGAGTAGGGTGTATGCCAAGATGAACGATAGTTGGAAGTAAGCATACTGTACTCTTACGGTTGTCAATTTGCCGCGCATAAAGTGTTATTTTTTAAAGCTAAACGTTCTTCAATGGATTGAAAATGGTGTCGAACCGTAAGAATGGGCATATCGAGCTCCTAGCCTTTTTTTCAAATTCTTGAAAGTCGTCATAGCGTAAATAAAAAATTTGAAATACATTTGATACGCAACGCACATGGCTGGCACAGGGTATCGTTCATGTTGGCTGCCCCCGGTGGAGTACGATTCGATCTCTTCTATAGTTTCTCTGAGGAAAATCTCGTAATAGGTCTAAAATTATCAAACTTAGGGAAGCGATGGAGAATGGTTACTATTCCCTGGATAGAACTTTCAAAAACCTACCCGCTATTATAAAAGTTTGGCCGAAAGTTTGAATATGGACAGGAGATATGCTATGCATTCCGGAAATAAATAGTTTCAATTTGATCTTTGAGAGAATAGGTGGGGCTTGGGAAGGGGATGGACCTAAAGGGTGGAGCTTGCAACATTGGATGGTCAAATTTCGTACGAAAATTCTAAAAAAGAAAAAAGATAATTGACGATTGAAAACCTGATATAATGGCAAAAAACTGTTGATTTTGAAGATTTGATAGTTTAATTGTTGATTATTGTGAATTCCCGAAAAATATTTCGACTGCTGCAAATTTTCCCAAAATTGCCTTTTCAAACAACTAAATTCTATTAGGTCGTTCCGAAAGTAATGTCGCCTTTTTCAAACGAACGCCACACTTCACCGAATCAAGATTTTCAAGAGATCTTTGGAGCATTCGATGCAGCATTTCATCGTCTTTCTAATGTTTATAATCTCGTATTCAATCTCTCAATATTCAATGAGCTCTCGAAAAATCACCAACATCTGCGACTCATGCTTTTTGCCATGGTCAAGTTCGGCTATTTTTCTAAATTTTTGTACCTATTTTCAGAAGACGAACAAGCGGCAGTCACATAGAGCAAACCCTACAGGACACAGAATTAATCTTTCTTTTCCTCACCTTGCTTCTTAGAGTTTCTGATTCGTGCGGACAGCTAATACAGATCTATAGCATGTGTAGTACGCATGGCGGCGTGGTCCGTGGAAGATGTCGCATGCAACCACCTCCTTTCGGCGAGTTCCCTACCCCCCCCCCCTCCCCGCCCTTCCCAAAAATGGGTTTCGAAATAGTTGAAAGCGATCTATAGGAGATGTAATTTTGCGAGTGACTCGTCTGTCACTTCAAAATAGCCATGTCGAAATTCTAGAACTCGACTTAGCTTTGCACCAAAATTTGGTGGAACGAGAGCTGTTGCCACCACCCCTTCTTTTCAAACTTCGAGGAGCTTTGCACCAAAATTTGGTGGAACGAGAGCTGTTGCCACCACCCCTTCTTTTCAAACTTCGAGGCTATATGCCCGCAAAATTTTCGGGAAGTATATTGTAAATCTCCGTTATCAACCTTCAATAAAAATCTTTTGCCCCTCCCCCATGAAATTTCTTTTGCTGCTTTGCTGTTGTGATGCTTAGTGGACAGGAACTCATCTTGCACTTGCCTATGGTTGGTTATTCATTTTGAAAATTCAAGATCCTCAAACTTAATCTACTCCTCTACGAATTAGACGCAGTTTCAGGTTAATATCTAATAGTAAATGTTCTTGCTTGTAGTACATTCAAAATAGATATTGTGATGTAGTTTATTGACCGATTGTTGATTGATCAATAGAGACTTGATAAATCAGAAAGAGGGGCTCGCAAAATAATTTCACTCGAAGGTGCACAACGCATCTTTCGTGCACCAAGAGCCAGCTGCACACTGTGTACAAGGCGTTCCTTTTTTGTAGATGACACGCCCCACATTGTTACCTCTAGAATGGAATACAAAATTACAGTTTTCAGAGTGCCGGCGACGTTCATCTTACTTGGGAGAGTATCGGCAAACTACGACGAAATCAGATTTGCATAGTGCTATAGCGCAAGCAAGCTTGCTTGACGTAGACCATCCCATCTGAAAAATCAGTTCGAAACACTTCGAAATTCTTAATTCCATATTTGCTTTTAGTGGCATAAATTCAAGAAATCAAAAAAAAAAATAGTTTCTAAGCGAGAAGTAAAAAGTTAACCGACCTGTGTGAAAGATTCAATCGGAGTGCCCACGTGTACATGTCTAAAGTAGAGTTGCAAACCAGGACCTTCTTCAGTAAGTATGACATTCCACCATGACTCCACAGCCTGAACCACTGGTTGCTCAATAATCATAGCTGCCTAATTTCTTACCTTTTTAGCCGCAGCCAAGAACGTCGCCAAACCTTCCTTAGGAAAACGAACAAAATTTTCCCCAATATTGGGCCTCGAATACTCAGCTGATTTGGCTGTCGGGCACGTACTTACAAAACTGATGACGTCTTCTTCCAGTTGGCAATCGTATCTCTGCAAGTAACTAAACTAAGATATGCATGGTAACTCTATAAAACTTTGCGACCATTCTTTGCATGTCGGCTGATTGGGGCAGGTAGTTGCCGTTCCTCTTGGCGACCTTTCCTTCAGCCAGCTGCTCCCTGATTGTAAGCAAGTGCTACCAATGTACTCAAATTGTACAAAAAATAAGTGAATCGACCTGCGATAGTTATGCTTATCCAAAAACGCGAATCTGAGCTCATCGTTCATCATATTGTTGTGACATCTCTTGTATGAGTCTAAACTGAGCCAAGGAAATTACGGGATTGAATCATCAGAAGTCATACAACTTGTAAACTTCGATGCCAGATTGCTAGATCTATGACTGTTTACATTGTTATCATAGCTCATTCCCAATTAGTAGCTATTAACATTGCGATCCTGATGTTTCAAAAATTATATGTTGAGGCTTATATGTAAACATGAGAAAATTATAATGACGAAGATCGAAAGCATACATTTTGGGTGTGCTAGTTGTTTAAAGCCTTGCTTCTCACGATGCCACATTGATTATGAAACGAAGCAAACTCTTCTCATAAACGGCATAGTCTTTTCTTTCAATGCCATTGAAAAGTAGATTAGTACCTAGGAGCTACAACTGAATGTTTGTTTTACGTTGGAATAATTAATTGAGCCAAAAAATTCAAAGGACTCAAGCACTAATGTATGAGTAGCTTTTTTAGAGGATATAATGTCATGCACATCGTTGCAGAGCTGCTATAAGGATCATATCATATCGCACACAGTTATGACCAGGGTGTTACAACAACTCTAGCCTTCAACCTTGATGGGCAGTACAAAAAATCGAGGGCTTTTATAAAAGTCGTTTTGACCATTTTTTGGAATTAGCGGGAAGATTAGTCCAGATTAATGCCAATATAGTTCGATATTTTGCCGGGCGGCCTCTGGATCCTAAAATAGCCAAAAACTCTCCTTTCCCCGTTGAGATTTTTGGAACTATTTTCCAATAGAATGTACTTTTGTACTTTCTACTTCTTCTTGTATGAAAAATTTACCTGTGAGAGGAAACTCAGGCAACTCTTGTGGTACAGTGACCTTGCGTGGTGGAATAACTGGCGTCGTTGTAGTAGTTGTTACTGTGGGTGCAGCGGTTGTTGTAGCTTCAGTCGTAGTAATCGGTGACTTCGTGGTCGTGGTCTCCGGCAATGTAGTGGTCACTGCAGCCGTAGTTGTAGTAGTCAAATTCTTGGTTTTGGTCGTTTCTGGCATCGATGTTGTAGTTGATACTGTGGGTGCAGTGGTCGTCGTAGCTTCAGTTGTAGTAATTGATGGCTCGGTCGTGGTTTCAGGCAATGTAGTGGTCACTGCAGCCGTAGTTGTAGTAGTCAAATTCTTGGTTTCGGTCGTTTCTGGCATCGATGTTGTAGTTGATACTGTGGGTGCAGTGGTCGTCGTAGCTTCAGTTGTAGTAACTGATGGCTCGGTCGTGGTTTCCGGCAATGTAGTGGTCACTGCAGCCGTAGTTGTAGTAGTTAAGTTCTTGCCTTCGGTCGTTTCTGGCTTCGATGTTGTAGTTGATACTGTGGGTGCAGCGGTTGTCGTAGCTCCAGTTGTAGTAATCGATGACTTGGTCGTGGTCGTTACTGGCATTGCTGTAGTGGTTGTTACTACAGGTGTAGTGGTCTTTGTTGTACTTTTAGTAGTGATTGTTGTATCCGGTATAGGAAGGTGGTAAATCACATCAGAAACCGTTAACTCCCTAAATTGTACCTATAATCTCTATATATATAAAACTCAAAAATTGTCTGTTTGGAGGGTATGTGAGTTATAGAAACGCGCGCCTTTCAACCGATTGGGCTGAAAGTTTGCACATAGATGTTTTCGACCACGGAGACGGTTTTAGGCTACTTTTTGCGGCGATTCACTGGGTCCTTCTATCGATTTATTGATTTGTTTACGTTTTTCTAAGGGATCGAAGGCTTATCATGTTTAATCAAGCATTTTGCCATAGTCATGTAAAGGAGGGTGGTGAAGCTCATTTTCCCCTCAGGATCACAAGGATGCGGCTTCGAAGCGGATGTCCCAGAGTAAGTTATCCATCTTATATATAAAGCTGAATGTCTGTTTGTCTGTATGTCTGTCCGTATATCTGTCTGTATGTCTGTCTGTACGTATGTTCCGAATAAAAAATTCCATTTCTGAACCGATTCGAACTAAACTTGGCACACATACACTTCGGGCCCCTGCGGGTGTCATAGGCTACTTTTCGGCACCGATCGATATCGATTTTATCGATTTTTTGCAAAATTTTAGCTACGGGGCTGGGAGTTGGCACAGAGGGGTAATCGAGCATGCTGATTACGAACATAATAATAACAGGGCCGGGCGGAGCCGGGTAAGCCGGCTAGTTCTATCATAACTGAAAAGAAAGTATACAAATATTGCATTTACATAGAGTCGTTTCGATGTGAGTTACGGAAACAGAGGTAAAAGTCCAAATACTGATATAGAACCGAGCTCAGATCTCCACCATTCGTCAGTGCTACGAATTCAGAGTTGTTTGGTTTCAATGGGCAAAATACTTTAAATTTGAAATCATGTACAAAAAGCAAGGAAGGTTTTTCAAATGTTATATGTTTTTTTTTAAATTCTAATAAGAGTTATGAGTAACATCAGAACAGGCGTATCTTGCAATAAACCATTATTCTTGCACAAATTCCTGCACTAAACCAAGCTAGTTGAGGAAAGATGCTGTAAAAACCCACGGTCGATTAGTTAGGCAGTATATCGTGATTGGTCCGTATCCCCTAGCATCAAGACATTTTGCTTCGAAACAACCAATTTCAGTTGTGTCTTCGCGTACAAGCTGCAACATTCGTAGATAAGGCTACAAATTAATATGTTCAATAAGTTACTCACGTTTGCATATGCTCGCAGCTCATAGGAAGCCACATATCTTACAACTTCGTTATCAAAAGCTGAAGAGTGAAATTCGGATACATCGATAGGGTACAACCAGGTACTCTGCATCCAGGGTATTAACTCCTTCTCCTTGTATGCAATGTAGTAGCTGAACATAATTTTTACCAATCGCTACCACCTATTTACTCTTTTGCTACATTAGACAAGATAAGTGAGGACCGCCTGCAATGATCAGTCTGCTACGCACTGTTGCCTCAGATTTGACATTGTTCCGCAAGCAAAAACTTTATATTGTATGTGTTAATACACAGAATGTTATCCTTGCCGTTCCGTCATGGACACCACCAGCCTACGAACCAAAGGTTTTTGCGGCCAAAGTCCAGGATGGGGAAAGCAAAGACTGCAGCAATACTTACGAAACAACTAGACCGTATGTCATGTGAGCCGCTGAAAGCATGCAATCAACTTTCGCAGATGTCGTCTTAATTGCAAACAGGTGATTGCCGTACAACAAAAAGTTAAAAACTGTTGGTGTGAAGCACAAGCAATCAGTGTCCTTGTTAAGTTATTGCCTTTTTCGGTTTTTTCATGCTAAATTCATTTTTCACAAACTAGCCCTCAGAAGAAGCCGAAAATCTATCAAGCTTCGAAAGGTTTGTAGTGTAGGACTACCTAAGTCAGAATGGCTTAGCACTGATTTTCTACAGCATGCCAAGTTTTATTTTATCAATTTCTAACCGTGGAAAAAATATCGAAAATGTACATATGAATGTTTGACGTGGACACATATGCCTGAACAAGTTTGAAGTCCGCAGGACTTTTTTTAGACGAAAATTTGATTTTTGGGTATGTGAACTTCTTGGATTTTCCATTCAAACATCAAGCGAATCTAACTTTTTGCAATCGTTCTAATGCAGTCTTGTAGAAGTTGCTTTACTCTATCAAATGATATATTTTCCACATTTTTATATCTACATCCCGTGTTCAAGTAAGGAACCTGCATTAATTTCCGGACAATCTAATATATAAAAATTGCTACACGGAAATAGCAAAAGCTCGTTGGAATGACGCCTACTCTGAAAACATAGAGGTTCGCACGCATCATAATCACCACCGGCAGGGGTTCTCAATAAAAGGCTTCATACCCGGCACTCCAGAGAGTGGGTTGGATTGCACGTTTCTAAGAGTATTCATTACTGCAACATATAGAACAGAGCGTACTTTTGTATTCTGGCGTTCTCAAACTTTTACAAAGCCATGTTCTCCAATGGCACACAATCTTTCTTTGAGTCAGTCATATGAAAATGCCACAAATCTTTGCTGATCAATTTATCCAGCAGTGTTACGCCTAGAAGCAAATCATCAAATTCATGTGAATTCCGACAAGACGCTGGTCACGACTCGGTTTAGCTATAATGACATTTGTTCTCATTTATTCTTACCAAAAACATTTGAGCACTGTTAGATAAGCAATCAGCACAATTTTGTGGTGTTCAATAATTTAAAAAAGACTCAGCTCTTATGGATTAACGCGTATCGTACGAAAACGTGATCGCCGCTTACAAGCTTTTGTTCATCTTTTGTTCAATATGCTTATAGTAGAAAAAAATAGCAAAAACAATGAAGATGGACGGAAACAGGAACTCCATGTCTCTGAAGTGCCAGGATGTGGCCCACAACTTATTTCTGAACCAAGAATTTGTGACTTGATAAAAACCTACAAATTGAAGAATGCTGTCTTCCCAGATGGTACTGTAGGCTCACTTCTCGGACAAGCTTTGATTGCAGCTGCTGCTTCTTCCTCCAGTTGACAGCTCCACTTCTAAAACTTGATGAAAGATAAACATTCTAATATGAAAGGTATACGTTCGACTGTCCATAAATCTTGGCATGGTTCAAATCCTTCTGGTTGATTTCTTTAGCAGCGTCCAAGACTAATTCAGGATATTTAATCCACAATATACAGACTGAAGTTTCGGCAGACTCGCCTTCTTCAAAGTCTGAGTCTTTCAAAAGCCTTTGTGACTTTTGAATAACGAGGTCAGGTTAAAACCGGGTGAGCAGACAGATATAATAGTAATGCAGTACAGTTTTTGAAAAAGTTGGTGACGAATTTCAACCGATACGCCTTTAGGGCCAAGCATAATGCTGGAAAAGATCAGGTAGCGCAGTTAAAGTGAAGGATTTTGTCCGACCCCAATGATATCTGAGAATAAGCTTGTGTGTTCATATCATATCAACGAAGCAACACAGATTCAACAATAGATGTTCGAGGCTACTCCACCTTGTTTCTTTGTGGTAGCTCATGTAGTGAAAGCACAAGATGATGAAAACGTGGTTGTCGGAATTTTGGCATAATTCTGGTCTTACTCGAAGCGATATAAAATGTTGCAGTGATAGCAATTTATAGCAGTTTCAGCATATAGCATATAGCAGTTTTCATAATATCATAACAGTTCTTACCACAAAAATAGTGACACGCTAATTTCCGCTGAGCTTGGGGTAGATGTACGGGAAGAGGTTCAACTTTCGAAATTCGATAAAGCTTCGTACAGATGAAATATTATAGTATGCTATTAACAGCTCTGCAATCACGGCTGCTGTGGAGATTATTGGTGATAAAATTGCCGGCCTAATGCTTCTTCCTTTTTTAAAGAGTTCTGCTTTCGATTTAAACCCCCACCCAATTCATCATTTATGTTATCCGCGGTTAGGGAGCCTAACCTCTCCCTTCACCTGCTTATGAGTCACCCCAATAAACGCGGCTTGAACCGTATTTAGGAAAAATAGATTTATGCCTATAAATGCGTATTACATGTGCACAGTGAATGTGCCAAAATGAACGATAGGTGCAAATAAGCATACTGTAGTCTTACGGTTGTCAATATGCCGTGCATACAGTCGTATTTTCGTAACAGTACGTCTTTCGCCGGATCGAAAATGGTGTCGAAAACTATGGATTAGGCCCACTAAGCTCCCGGCGATTTTTTTTCAAAAACATTATGGCGTAAATATAGAATTTGGGAGAGATTTGACCGCAACGCATGCGGCTGCACAATCTATCATTCATGGTGGCCTCCCCCCCCCCATTCCTGTGCAAAGATTCATAAATGCTTTCCACTGAAGTCAAATTTGCGGTACATAATCCAAATGTGCATCTGTCAAACTGACCACAAAACTAATCTGCTTTGCTGCCGGCAGCAAGATCCTTGAAGCACCGTTCATCTGCTCTCCCTTGGCTAATTTTTCTCGACGGTTATTGATGAGCTTGAGCACTTCATCTTGTATATTTTCAGGCAGGCCTGGGGTCTGATCGGAGAAAATACACTGCAGTTCCAAAGATGGGAACGCAGCAGCCTTAAAGTGAGAAACATATTGTAAACTTTACAAAGAATAGAAAATTCAAAAAATCTACCAGCAGTAGTGCTATGCACAAAAGCTGTTGCATGTTAATTCGGTGCATGATAGTTGTGCTTCCTTATATACTGTATACTAGTTTATAGCTAACGACATTTTTATGTAGTTAGCTATAAACTAGTGTACATCATCATCATCAGCATTCATCTTTAGTGCACATTTACATGTGCATATAGAACGTATAGGGCAATCATAAAATAGTGACAATGGCGGTGATAACATGCGTCGCCTAAGCAGCTTTGACGATCTTATTTTCTTAAAGGCATTGTCTAGGGCAACTGGGGGTAGTAGGATTTTGACGAGGTGCGGGAGTAGGGCTCCTTATTGATGCAGCAGTTCATGTCCAATCAAAAAAGCTGAGTTCTAAAGCGAGAAAATCGCTTCCAGAAAAAAGCGGAAAAAGGGCGGTACGCTAATCCCGCCTCCTTTACAAGTTTTAACGTGGCAAATGCTATAGCTCTAATGTATTAACCACGTCAAAACTTGTCAAGGAGGCGCAATTAGTGTACAGACCTTTTTTCCGAAGCGAGTTTCCTTCTTCAAAATCCATCTTTTTTCAATCGGACATGAACTGTTGTATTAGTCATGGGCCGTACTCCGGCACTACGTCAAAATCCCTTCACTCTCCAATTGACTGGACAACGCCTTCAACCTTTGTCTGAGCTTGAAGCATTTTTCACATTGAAATGATAGCTTTTAGATACTTGGGGTGACTGCTGCAAAGTGTTAATTTCTTGAGTAAGTATTTTATGTTTGTGTGACGTTTAGAGAGCGCTAAGAAGCAGTCGAAATTCTTTTTTTTTCAAGTAGGGGTTAAGCAGGGAGAGGTGAGGTAAGGGAAGGGTATAGTACGATAATACATTGCACACAGCTTAATGAGCTATTCCTGCGGCTTAAGCGAATTCAAACTTACAAGGGGAAGATATAACCTAGTTTTGCCTTTTGCGATAAGATAATTATATTTGGAGACATTCTGAAACGCTGATTTCACAAACTGTACGCAACTGCTGAGCTTCATCCTGAAACGAGATATGCTCTTTTCTGTCCGATATTTGCGTGCTCTCGACCTACTGATGCTAAGGTATCAAATCTATGTGGCTTTGGAATAATAATATTCATGGCTCACTTTCAAGATCTGAAGGCTTGATCTGGTGCTAGAAAATATTCTTCACTTTTTTGAGCACATTCCCAATTGCAAGCCGTGTTAGCGATTCAGAAATATGTCAATTACCCACAATAGCAGGCTTATACAGTCGAGTAGATTTAGCGGTAAATATAGTGTGCTTGCACAGAAGGTGAAATGCGGTAAAATTGGCGCGTGAAGAAATAGTTTCGACTGTGACGCCGGCAATTGCGCGCGCAAGATACCCGCGGTACTGACGTGGCTACTTGTTCACGCGCAAATTTCACCGCATTTCACCTTCTGTGCAAGCACACTATATTTACAGCTAAATCTACTCGACTGTAATATGCTTCAGTGACGCTCAGCAGCTAGAAACGGCATATTGAAAACCAGCGTTCCACTCAGGCAATCGACCGGACCCCTCCGCCGGACAGTCCGAATCTACCAGAGTCGCGCCGGACCCAGTTGACCAATGAGAGAGGGGCAAATGGGCGGTCCGTCGCGGTGACATCACTGGCAGGCAAGTGGAAGGCTTCTCCGGCCCTGCTGCAAAGGTACGCCATTTCTCCGGCGCGACTCTGCCAGATTTGGCGGACTCGCGCCGGAGAAATTTGCCCGGCGCGAGTCCGACAGATTTGGAAGAGCCGCGCCGGAGAAAATCGGAGGGGTCCGGAGCAGAAATGGGAGGCCTCCGGAGCAGAAATGGGAGGGCTCCGCCGGACGAATGGGAGACCCACCGCTGGGGAAACGCCGCGACCCTGCCATTTCTCCGGCGGAGGGGTCCTATCCGTTGCCTGAGCATGCTGATTTCAAATATATGTGTCTCATCTCAAAAGGCAAGTCTGACTTAGTATCCTTTCCTTATGAGCAATTCCTATTGAATCAACCTGTACAGTTTGGACTTGCTCGCAAATGTCGAAAACGACAGCACTCAGTATTTTGATGAAGTGTGGATACCAAAAACACTCTCTCAACAACTTCTGCTAATGCAAATTTTATTGCGCCAACACCATTAACCAAGCGCAATGCTGTGATTTGGCATAAAAAACGGAAAAAATTGTTTCGATTAGCTTCTCCGCTTGTAATTCCTCCGCCGGGCACTGATGTGAACGAATGCATAATGATTATAGTCAGGACCAGCAAACGGCGCACTCTTTACACTATCTAGTTCAAACCATACTCTCATTCCGGCCAGTCTCGTCTGACCTTCTTCATGAGCTTGCGAAAACTCGCTGGTTTGACCGTGAGCGTGAATTTTTGTTCAGCGAATTAAAGAGTTCAAAAGTAACGTCCATCCAAATAGAGGATGGTGAGATTTTGATGGGATACAAAAGCGGGGCTCCAACTAAACAAGCCCAAGCTGCCCAAGTTCTGCTGCAAAAAGTAATTGAAGCGAGAAAATCTATTCAGGAGGTGCCTCGGACACGTCCTTCTCATTACCACGTGTATGGTCTGAAGACAACAATCCCGAAACTAAGTTTTCAAAGCAAAGTCTTTGATAGTAAACATACATTTGCAGTTCATACAATTGTATCCAAGCATGAGTGATCTGAGGTGTGTAAGAGTCGAACTAGGTTTCAGTGAGAAACTGAAAAAACAAAAAGTAAAATAAGAGTTAAGTAGGCTTTTTTGGTTGATGACGTGCACCATCTGCAAGCTCCCACTTAGTCTGACAAGGCACATACTTTCAGAGACCATACCATTTGATTTGGATGCACATCATCCGAACAGTCTTGAACGCTGAATTCAATTTGTATTTCGTTTCTGCCTAACGCTCTTCTAAAAGCAGTTATGCTAGCCTGGAAATCTGATTTTGGGGATATATTTGACCATAATACAGTGCGTCCAGAATCGAGCCTTTAACCTTCCGCCTTCAGTATAGCACGCTAACCACTACTCTACTTCACCATTAATAATGGCAGCATCCGTATATCCGAAGAGTGCCCAGAATCAAGATTTCCAGGCTTTCATAACTCCTTTTAAAAAAGCGTTCCGCAGAAATGTAATGCAGATTTGATACTTTAAACAAAATCTCAAATATTATAGTCTTCAAGCTTCCGTCTCAAAAAATAAGGTCTTCTGCATGTAAGTTGAGGACTCTCTATTGTATGCATGTTATGCTGAGCATTAAATCAATGCTTAAAGCTTTCTTCCCAAGCAGAGTGACAGTAGATCTCTATTAACACTCCAACATAGTAAAATCTAATACAATTAGTTATAAAAATCGAGAATCATTCAAAAGACTAAATTTAACCGTGCACAGCTTTTTTCCTGAATCGTCTAATTGTGAGAAGTACAAGGTTGGGGGAAAGTCCTTGAACAATTTTTGATGTCCTTGTATGTTTGGCTTTTGCACAAATGTTTGTATGCTAATTATATGTCTTTGCTTCTTATACTCTTGAGTACAAGCCCTCAAAAAACTGGACTATTAGCTTTTTTCCTCTCGGAGATATGCCTTCTGGAATGGAGCGAGCGTTGGTGGAGAAGATGCACAAGGAGCCGATGACTGACCAGCAATTGCGCGGGCTCCCCAAATTTTGCAGATCAGGGTCTTTTCCGCCATGCGTCGTTTCCAGGATATGAACAGCACGCAGGACTGTTGTATGAGTGGTAAATTGGTTACTGCGGACAGGAACGAAATTCTGAAAATCTTTCGCCAACTCCTTCGTCGCAATCCTCGGCGAAGCTTGATGGAGCTGGCTTCAGAGCTGTCCATCTCTGGCAGGACAGTCTCCGACATCGTAAAAGAGGGCCTTGCGATAAAGCTTTTCAGGATGCTAAATTTTCATGCTTTTTGGGAGGACACGAAGCTGAACTGGCTGCGCAGATGCCATCGACTGCTTGAACGTCTCTCCAAGGCACGCCACCAAACGATAATCTTTTCTGACGTCAAAATTTTCATCGTGAGGAAAGTTTTTGATCGCCAAACAACAGAATCATCACCTAAGCGCCCGCAGAAGTCAATAGCAAGGGTTGATTCGCAGAAGGAAAGCTTCATCGCCTTTGTAATGGTTTGCGCGGCGATCGCTTCCAACAGCTAGATGCTGGCGATTTTTGTGCCCCAGGATATTGAGGTGGATACCGCTACGCACGTGGATAGCATCCTGAAGAAGGGATTGTTGGCCTGGACCAATACTCATTTTGCCACGAGCAATTGATGTCTCCAGCAGGATAGCGCACCTGCGCACAAAGCGAAGTTTGTTTAAGACGGCTCCAAAGCAACATCAAGGAGTTCATTACTCCTGCGGAATGGCCTCCGTATTGGCCGGATTTGAATACCCCCACTACAGCGTGTGGTCACTTCTTTAGGCCAAAGCCTGCGCTTACTCGCGCAAGACAGTGGAGTCTCCGCGATTTGCTTTTCAGAAGGCGTTGAAAGAAACGGCGTGAAGCACCTCCGTGCCACCATGGACAGCGTTCCCAAGCGTTTCCGAGCTTGCGTTCGCGTCAAAAGAGGAATCTTCGAATTGTAAGGCCAGTCTTGTGTAGCAGACAGTTAAGTAAACATTACCTATTGATTTCATGTAATCTTCTTGCCTAGCTTCATCATTACGTTAAAAATACCGTGTTCAAAAATATTCCCTCAACCCTGTATATTTGCATTTCACCGAGCTTGTCTTCAACGTGCTCAGATTTAATAATAATAGAGTAATTGGAAAATGGTGGGACAGCATTTTGTGGGACATCTGGAACTTTTTGTTGCAAGCAACGACAATTAGGCAGCAACTCAGATTTTACGCGTATAAGTGACCTTCGTTTGGGATTTTGAGAACGCGTTGCTGCTCCTCTCCCACAAACCCTGGAGCGGCGCTTCGAGAAAGCTAAACAAAGTTTTTGTGTTTTCCTCAAAATTTCACTACCATGCCGCAAGGTTATCGAGCAAGTGGGCATCTGAAAACTCTCCAAATTCCTTCAGATCTATGAGGTACAGAAAATTTTCGATTTTCGAGATAAGGTAAAAAAAAATCGGATGCGATTGGCACTAAAAACCAAAAGACCATACTGTTGTATGTAGCTGGATCTGAAAATATTGAAGTAAGCTGCACACCATGGATAGACGCAAAAAGTTCCTTAAAGAGATAACCATAAACATGAGTTTGTATGTAAAGAAATAACAAGCCTTTAAACAGGAACTGCTTATGACTATATTCCCTGATCTGAAGCACGGATATTATCAAACTACCAGTCTGGTGACTTTCCTGATTAAGGGACCGGCACAGCTGGAACCGGATTAGAGGCAGTGGCTCGGAAAAATCGGATTGGGAGATTTCCACAACTACATGGCCTTCTGGATTAGCTGAGTTAGATCCTGTGCTTGAAAAGTCAAAAAAGTGCTTTTTGGCGTTTCCCGACCTTGGAGATTGCTTGAGAGGCGGGGCGCGGGATTCCCGTCAACTGTATCTTATTGAGTGCCTGGGTTAATCACCAACTGTTCCCCGAGGCACGCGCTGTACTTGATCCACTTAATCCACTTGATCCGCTTTATTCGCTTCGTCATTGGTCGATTCCGAGAACTGAGCAATAGCGAAGCGGTTGTCCGCTTTATCCGCTTGATCCACTTCATCCACTTCACTATTGGCAGTGCACTGAAGTGACCAACGATAAAGCGGATCAAGTATGACGCGTGCCCAACGTTGATACTAGCCGTTTTTATTTTACAAAGTTCTTTGAATATTCACTCATCGAAGCTTATTTATCAGCTTTAGACCACTCATTCGCCGGTTGTAGTCATCCGTACTTTGTGTACACGTGTCTATTTTTACTGAACAGTTTCACAAAAGAATCTTGTTATTCTTCGAAACAAATTATTCTTGGTGTTAGGTCAGCCAGCTTTTACCGGGGGCTCGCTGGATCCCAAAAACGGGTTCATCATGAGTAGGGTGCCGGATTCCTGAGATGTTTTCTGATATAGTACACGTTTCTTTTTTTTGTTAGGGTCTAGAGCTTCGTGTCTTTCATCTACCTCTTATTTTATTCTACTTTTGCCTTGAATATGAGGACTGGCTGGTCTGTGTTTCTTTTTGATTTTCCTCTTTGGTGTTCTTCCTTTTTGATGCACCGTGTGTTCTTATAAATAAATAAATAAATAAATAGAATAACAGCACTTCGACAAAGTAAGATCAAAATATTGCAACCGTAACCAATCTTTCTTTGTTTATCTTCTTCTTGATAACCATCACTGCCGAAAATGGCTACTGTTAAAACAATCACAACAAAAATTAGCGATTCCTCGTTTTCCCCGTGTTGTGGATAGCCTGATCTTGTAGCGAAAACACTTCGAAATGTCACCAAATAAAAATTTCAAAATCATTGCCGCGATTTTATCCAGTTTTTGAAAGTTTTTGCTTCTGCTATCTGTTTGCATCTTTTTCTTCGCTGATTTCTCATGAACAACCTTCACTTTTTATAGGGGGCAAATATTCGGTAAAACTACTTTTAACGTCCTGTCTCTAAACTATCGAAGATATGGATTCATACATACGAATTCTTCGCTTGTGTTCTTCCCATAGTAAGAAATACCCCCATGCTATACCTACAGAAAGTCCAAAACCTCATATATAGGTTCAACCTTTTTCAAATTTCCCTGAGGACGCACACTTGTATGTGGTTATGCATTCTATGCTAAACATTTTCGGTTAAAAATCTTTATTTCATTATGTAATTCGCTATTCACATTGACTGAAGTAATGCTGTATGAATACATGAGGGCAACATGGATCTCATCTGTGACGATGGAGTTGATTATCAATGTCTACCACTACGTATGTTGTATCGCCCCAATTCAAGTCCTTTACAGTTTTCTTCCCCAACTCTTTCGCTACCAGCTTTTCGTACTTGTAAAGCCCTAAACTGGTGCCTTGTTTTACTGCTCTAGAAATTGTTGATGTTGCTTAGCATCCGGTCGTTCTATCCGTCTGAGCTAGTTAATAGTTATAGGTAAAAAAAACCAAATGGAGACGAACCGCAGAGTTAGCTTTACTTCGTTAACTTTACCTCTTTAATTAGCAATGAAAATGGTCTACCCATTGATTCAAATGGATTAGTGGCTGGAAGGCGGGGCTTCGTGACCTAGTTAAGGCCAGAGAATGATCAGAAAGCACGCGCGCGAGAGAGACGCAGAGTGCGTCGCGGGAGCGAGCTGCCCTTAATTAGTCACAAAACTCTCCTACCAACACCCAATCCAGTTGAATAAAAGGTTACATCAACTATAAGATATACAACTGAGTATTTCTTGCAAGCATTACATTGGTTTCAAAAACTTAGACGACTTTTTCCCCCAATCTTATGTTAAGCTGCAGGTTTTCCAGAAGCCAAGAAAATGCTAAGGCACGGCTTATGTTTACGATTTTTTGCGTCTTCCTTCCTCTCCTTCCCTCCCCCCCCCCCATAGTCCACATTTGCCGTTGATAAGGAGATATTCTTTTTTACCTTTTTCCATTTCGAATCGTACAAAAATACTGATACTGGACGTGGTTCTGTTCCTAGCAAGTCGTTGCATTTGCAATATTGCATTGATGAGATCGGCTGAAACAAAACATATTCGGCATAAACAAGATATACTGAATTGTCATTTGAAATTGTACTAGAATGCGCTTCTGAACTTTGAGGTCAAAACGAGGTGTCAGAGTTACAACTTACAAATAACACAAAGTTTGGGTATGATAATTCGCTTGTTGGTGGCTTCTCTCCCGTAAATATAGCTTTCCACAACGATTTCCTCTTTATCCTTAAAGTACTATCTAACTCGACTTACATCTAATATAGAGAGCTGAAACTCTAGAAGACAGTATTTAAGACTAACAGGTGGCATTTCTGATTGTTTTTCGGTTATGAGTTTTTCGGCTGTCTCACAGAGTTGTCTATCCTTCGGTGAACGATTTGCCAACGCGCGTACTTCAACCTTTGAGATGCGATTGCTGCATCGAGCCAAGGGGCAGTTAGGTATGTCATCTAGAAATGCAAATCTTAGTCTACTATGATACTGCCGTTGATGATTGTATGGGCCCCCAAAAACTATTATTAGTGGGTTCAAAGTTCTTTCTAACAAGCTAGCCAAGCTCAAATATATTTTTACTGAAGAACAGCGCCTTGGGAAATTGCCATTTCAAATTTTCAATAATTTTCTGTATTTAGTTGGTTTGAATTTGCCTTGCAGCTAGTCTGTTTGTGTGGTATATAAATTGAACGGGAGCGAATCGTCAGCCAGTCGGCTCGCTGATGGATGGAAGACTTGGCGGCTTCCACTTATACGAATGACGTTTTGCTGCAAAGTTCCTGCGCCACCACCTTCCGGCATTTCCTTGATGCAGCGCCACCTAAATTCTTGACCTCGGAGTTTTTTGGCATTTTCAAGATTCTGATTTTGAACATGAAGTTTGAAAGCGTAAAACGCTCAGAAATTCTTTTCTGTAGCATTTGCTGGACCCAAATGTGTAAAAATGGTAGGAAACCGTAAACAATGTCAGTCAAAGCTTTACGGAGTTAATTGTCCACAGTGAAGGCTGTTTATTTCATCTAAATTTGATGAGAAAGGGCAGGGAAGGGGGTGAAACGGAATCGGCTGGCTACTATAATGTTGGCACGCAATCATATGAGCTCATTTTACTTACTGTTAAGTATATCATGAGAGAGTTTTTCGCTGAGGCAATCGTAACAAATTCGATGTCGACAATTGATAAGATACATCCTTGCAACATTGACACATGGAAATGCACCATGCCGCGCTTCGCATCTAAAAGGGCGTTGATTCTTTTAAAGTGCAAAAATTCAACTGTTAGAAGCAGCTATTCAAAGCTCACATGTTTCAAACTCACCTTTGCCTTTCCTCCAAATCAAGGACTGATAATGTATATGATCCAAAAGCGATTTGTGTAGCTGCGCTTCCCTCCACTCCTACAAGTTTTGAAGTCATAATTAGTATGCGCTGTTCAGGGTATGATTTCATTACCAGCCATTTCGTCGACAATGATATCTGAAGATCTTGTGCCTGCGCAAAGAGGAGCAGGACAAAGCGTTCCTAAAGTTGTGAATTTCACAATATTCCGTATAAAAAGTTGATCACATTGTCAGATTAATCGCGTCTACACACGTGATAGTTTTACCAATAATTTGTAAAGCTAAGAATATAACAAGGATACGTGACTCAATCACCTACAAAAACTATACTCAGCTCGCTTATGCGCCTTTCTTGCCATGTAGGGCGAGCTGATAAACGAATGGAGTTTGAAAGCAAAAAAATTAAGCCATATCGTCTTCAATGCAATAAGATCTTTGTGCTTCTACATTTCAGCGGAAAGGGAGCCGGCTTTACAGTTGACGAAATCGAATTTGAATCTCAATCTCAGTAGTTCTTTTTCTTCCTGCTAGTGTTACACTCTTACAAGGTCAAAAATAATCATTTGTGTTTCCTTTGAATATGAGAATTCCTTGGAATCAGTACACTCAGCATGCTAGCCGTGCACTTCCAATGGATTCTGGAGCATATTATGCATCAAAATCCCCATGACTTTACACATTTAACCTCATCTCATAACTTTTTCCAGATAACGTCATCCAGACATGAAAGGTAGATTTGGAATCAGCTCATCGACAGACGCATTTGATAAAGTGAGATTCTTTGCAGTTCGCCATCTTAAGTTGGGATCGTTCCCTTGTTAAAGACAGCGTCCGGACATAAACTCGCATGATAGCTTTTTGCTTGCCTGGGATCAATCGCGCTGGGTTCGACAGTGCACTCTAGAAAGCGCGAAAATCTCTGGAACAGACTTTTCCGAAGGGCTTCTATAAACCGGAAAGTGGAACAGTCTCCGCCAAGGATGAGAACAGAACGCATTACCCGCAGAATTTGATATGGCGGCACTGCACTCTACACTGGAAAGAACTACAGATAGTCGGAACTTCTATAAGTCGTTTTCATCTGAATTATCTTCTCGCTTCACGGCTTTACAACTTGAGCGATGGCGCAGCTTAGGACGGATAATCTCTCACTGCACTGAAAATCCACATCTTCACTTCTGCCCTGACAATACTTTCAGTCAGATCCTGACAGATTTACATGAATTTTCAAAATGTCACAGAAAGACTTTTTTAAGTCATAGCCTAAGCGGCAGCTCATACAGGAACCTTTCTAGATATCCAAATATGAGCTCTCACATGAGCAGTTACCTTCAAAAACGAACTGGCGATCGTTTATCGAAGGGCCAGATAGGTTTGCTCGAAAGAGCACCATTTGAGAATGATAAAGTCGATCGACCGTCAAGAATTGAACTTATCCAGGAGAATTTGTTGATTTTTACATGAAAAACAAAGTACTCAGAGTGCCTATACTATTTTGCATTCTCGATGGCAATGATCCACATGCGAGATGTTCTGCGAATATGGAGGAGGGGGGGGGGGGAGTGTAATGCGGCGCAACAGAGCTTATATCTAGAATGCTGCGTGTCCCATGTAAAACATCTTGTGGATACTCTGTCGCAAGATTGCCTTTGCAGTGACAGTAGATGTTCCAATATTTGTGAATCTTCTACTTTTTAGGGCATGATGGATGTTGATAGCCACTGCTTGCACTTAATGTTAGTCAATTAAGATTCAGTCAGTAAAGTTCAGAAGTTATTGTTTCATTTATGTATTTGCCAAATTTACCTGTATATTGTCCAAGACATTGTACGCAGAACTGATGTTTGCAGCTGAGCTCCTGAAAGCCGCTGATCAACTCAGAACAACATGCTTTCTACGAGGTTAACCAGTATAAACAATTTTTTGGAAAAACTTTGAGTGTTTATCTTTCATCTGACAAAAAAGGTACTTTGGTTGTGAGCAAATGAGATGAAACTTTCAAGAACTGCGATAACCGCTGATCTATTAACTGTAATCCTTATCCTTATCTGCGGAACCACCTAACCACCTAACCACCAAAAACTACCAACTCTCAGTGCCAGCTTCACCATATGTTATTATTTCTAGAGCATAGGCTTCGAAGTTTTTGTTGTCGCATAAAACTGATACATCTTCAGGCATACTTTAAGCGAGTTCACTCGTTACGTTCTGGCAGTGTGCCAGATGTCTTCAGTAGCGTGCATAATTTTTCTAATAAGGAATGCTACCTAACTTAGCTCGACCTTTTGGCAAGGGACATATATATTCCGAATCAGCTTTGAACGCTGATTCCAAATATGCTATTTCTAGCTGACATGCGCCATTCCGAAGCGAGTTATGGGCTTTTTCCTGCGCAAAATTGGCATACTAATGAACATGAGAAGACTGCCTGTAGATAAAAATCTGCAAGAAAAAGGTGCTGAGGTATCGAAGTAGTGCAAATCCAATCTTTTCTCACTAAAAAAAGCTTGAAGGCAGTGGCTCGGCAAATCTCAACCTAGTCAAATTTGGGCTTGCCTGGGGTTTTTCAATACGCTGATCCCGAAAATCCACTTTTGAAAGCTTGAAAACGGCGAAAATGAGCGTTTTCTAATGCCCTTCCCTTTGATAGTGGACAAGTGGAGCAAGGCTGATGACGCTAAATCGTTGCAGGACCCAATGGTTATAGCACTGCGGCGGGCAGCCTCCAATGGTGAGAAGGAAATTGCCAACTCGTCCAGATGCGTGTAAGATTGGCCTGCGCGTGTAAGTTCGAGAGCGATTTTCTGGGCAGGGAAAGCATGCTGTGCAACCGAAATTGCGTTGTTTTCATGGTTGGGCGATAGGGAACCTACCGCGTTAGAATCCCGAGTTGTTGGATTTTGCCGATCCGCTGCCTTTAACGCAGGTGTATCAGCACCCAAATGATGATGCCGTGATGCCACTGAGTCGATGAGCATGCCAATTTTGCGCAGAAAAAAGCCCATAACTCGCTCCGGAATGGTGCGTGGCAGCTAGAAATAGCATATTCGGAATCAGCGTTTAAAGCTGATTCGGAATATATATGTCACTTGCCAAAGGCCGAGCTAAGTTAGGTAGTTTCCCTTGTAAGCTATAAAACCCTAAATTCTGCACATTCAGAATACGCTTACGACGATTTATGAAACGTTTCACTTGAAGTATACCCGAGACATATTTCAGAACCATTGTACTGAGACTGCTTATAAGACTCTGTCGCTACAACAGATATCCTTGAGTTATTTCTAACTGTATATATGAGTCTGCACACTATGCAAGAAAACAAGGAAAAATCAATGCAAATGAACAGGTTCTAGTCTTAGAGGTTGTCAAGTACTGCGTTTGGTGGGCAATCGCATATTAATTTACAACGACTCAACGATAGCTATCGAATCGTCGTATGCATGATATTGGTTTCAGGGCTCGGCACAGGTGGCTTACCGGGCAAGCTGGATATCGTTTTGGAGGTTAAAAGCAAAGGGGATATCGTTTTTGCGGAAGAGCATACCGCTGTCTTTCGATCCTGCCGGCAGGCTGCCGGCACGCCGGCAGCACGGTCTCCCAAACAAACAAAGGGCTTGTTTACATCGAAGTGAAAATGAAATGACACCAAAATGGGTGTGTAGATGGGCAATGGGGGTATAATACTATGTGCAAAAAATTATGAAAAAGTTATGTGAATTGAAGTCGCGGCAAACTTTTTTCGGAGTTAGGTGGCTTTACAGCCACCTGGACAGCCACCTGAGGTGGCTGTAAAATGAAAAGTCATAAATTTCCCTTCCCTCACTTAATTTTCTCACATGTTTTACGTAAATTTGTTCTACATCAAAAACCCAACCAAAGAGTTCTTAAATCTCCCCAAACCCCCTCCTCCTCGCCTAGTTACAGCCCTCCAAAAATTTTGTATGTCGACAGCAAGCCTGCCCTAAGCGCGCAATGGTGCGCGCCGGACACAGTACGCCGCCAATTCCGAGATTGTGAACGTTTTTTTTCGCTTGTGCAATGTTGTATTATGTTTTGCTCGATTATTTTTTGTGTTGCTTGTTTCATCACTCATAATCTCGTCATGGGTGATGTCGTTTTTTGGTGTCGAAGTCTAAGGGGACTTCGTTTTTGAAAGATTGAAAAAGCCACCTCATGCCGAGCACTGATTGGTTTAGGTTCAAAAAAATGATTTTTTTCTTCACTATTGAACTATCAAAGATTTGGTGTGAGAAAGGTTTCATGCGTACTCTCATCCAGCAAGTCTTAGACCCGCACAGTATACGAGGGAAGCAGCTGATTGAAAGGGTGCAGTGGCGTTACGCGGTGAATATTAGGCATCGGGGTGCCAAATGCATATGCAAACGATAGAGCTGTAAATCGCTCTAAAGAGGCCACGTACTGATAAATCTTACACCAAAACAGAATTAACATAAGTTTCGTACTTGACTTAGTTTTGCATGGCTCCAGTTTGTGGGACCGTGTTTTGTGAGCCAGCAATGCCGTTGAGATGTGGTTTGTAAAATTGAGCACTTGATTCTATTCAATATGATGACAATGGTACTCACTCATTGTCCCAGAGCATCGTGACCTTGACGAACTGACCTGCATATCACTGACAGCTCTCTCTTCAGCACAAATGCTACACTTCATTCCATAAAAATGACTTAAACAAATGAGTTTGGAGCTGCTCACGCTTTATTTATACCATCATACTTCCATTATCTAGAAATCAACATTTCATGGTAATGATCGGGTTGAGCGGTCAGCGAGGTTATAAAGTAAGCTTTGTACACTTCTAAAGCCTTACAATTAGATCTTTATTTTTAGTACAAGATTAATCAATAGAAAGGACAATGATACTGTAAATGATTGCAAAAATAATATAACTACAGCCGACAACGACTAAAGCCAATTTCTTCCTCTCACCAAGTGTAGTAGTGGTAATCTGTCGCTGCATTGGGGCCTGATAGATAAAGCTACTGGAGAAAAATTGAAAGTATTTGCACTCACAGATTCCGACGGTAGGGGAACTACTTGGGTGGTGGAATTTCGCTCGTGTTTGATGCCTAATCTCCTTTGTACCCAGTCCTTGATGAGATCCAATTTGTTTTGAGGTGACCGGCCTGCACAGTATTCTTTTTGAGATGTTGCTTGAGGTTTGCCAGACTTGAAACAAACAACACCAAAACTTTCATGAATTCGCTCTAGTGGAGGTTTGTAGCTTTCTCGAAGTCGTTTCGCCATTAGGAAAGTCAAATTCGAACACAACCAAAGACGCTTTGATATGGTTTTTCTACTCTACTTTTCTATTCCGCCACTGCAACTAGCGGCGGCCAGTTCAGACAGTGCCAAACAGTTTAGTTGTAAATAGTGTCATGGTGGGGAGGGTACAAAGGGGTGTGTTCGTGAATACATGCATCTGCACCCTTCGAAAAATCTCCAATCCTCCGACATGCTCAAAAGATTTCGCTAGATAAGTCATTTGCACCAAACAACGACTAGTGAACAAGGTCTATCTTACTCTAGCAATGTTTTCTTTACTCACCCAGGCTTTGGCACACGTTTACGTGTGCCAGATAAGGATAATGGTTCTTAGCGCACAAATAACCGAATCACATTGATTTTGGTACACAAACGGAAGGAAAGAGAAGGAAAACTACAAAAAATGAGAAAAATCATGTCATTAGAGGACGCGGCAGCCTCTTGATAATTTTTGCACGACTGAGAACGAAAACATGAATAGCTTCAATGATATGTCTCCAGATCAGGGCTCGGCACAGGTGGCTTACAAGCAAGCTGGATATCGTTTTTGGGACAAAAGCGGGGTTTCGTTTTTGTGGTTGAAGACACCAGGAAAATTGGAGACGTTTTCAAATCGACGTTTCGTTTTTTGGAGGATTTTTAGGGATTTTGATCTGGGGTCAAAGGGGACTTCGTATTCTCAAAAGTCAAGGGTTTTTTGCATTTTCATCTAGCCACCTCGTGCCGAGACCTGCTCCAGATACCGCATGTACAGGGCGGCACAGTTGGAACTGGGTCAAGCTAAATGTCGTTTTAGGCGAAAAGCGAAGGGTACATCGTTTTTGCGTGGTCAGAGATGTAGAAGAGCTGCGAACATTGCACTACCCCTAATAAACAAAAGATGTTCACAACCAAGACAATGGTGTTGAACCAATTTCGGTGTGCGCACGCGCGTGAGGGGACTCGAACTTTGGCTCAAAAAGTTATGGAATCTTATGTGAATGAAAACCGTGCCTAACTTCCAAGCAAATCAGCTGGAACCGTCCCGGGTAATTCAGTTGAACTGAACCAGCTCTTTTGCTCACGCAATTTTTCATGCTTTTTTGATACTTGGTCCTTCATCGTAAAACTTTTCCACAAGCAGGAAAGGTTTCAGAATCTTTTTTAAAGCTTTTATACAGTCCTCAAAATACGTTGGTGGCACAATCTAACGAAAATGTGCTTTTTTTCAGAGTTCTCCATGTTCGCATTCGCTGCAAAATACGCGTAAGTGGGCGGGCCCGCAACAAAGGGGCGGGGTTCGTAAGACCCTCAAAGACGATTTCAGGCTTTCCAGATGCGCCTTTTCGCTCCGTACTTCATTGTTAGATTAAACGGGGGAGGAAGTGCATTGCAAATCTCAAAATCCAGGTATCCATCATTTTGTAGGGACGCTGCCTCTAAGCAAATCAAGTCAGCTGCTGAAGTTTTCTCTTTGTGTTCTTCTTTGTTATGTGAGGGAAAGGGGGGGGGGGGAGCTGAGGACTTATGATCATAGTGGCTTCGTTTCATCTCCCTGCTTTCAAAAGGTGGGGAGCCTTAAGAGTGTGAAGGCGCAATGGACACTTGAAACAAAGCATAAAACTTTATGAAAAACTTATGTGCATGAAAAGCGTGTCCGAATTTCCCTCAAAAGAAGATTGCGATTGCCATTCTAGTCCACCGTTAGGTTGGCATTCCATTTCACATAAACTCACATGATTCTTACATGGATCTGCTCTACAACATTGCTTACTAAGTGAGAATTCGTTTTTGAAGCTCCTCCTCTCCTTTTGCTCTGAAGCCGGAATAGGAAACCAATCGCGGGACCTAAGGAAGAAAGCGCGCTTCGATTGAGGCAACTGCGCAATAAGCGCCACCAAGATGGTTACCGTAAAAATCTTCGAAAAACTCAAAAATGGCAAAACCAAATTGGTTTAAAAGGTGTCCACTTGTCACCCTCATGTCGGACCGACCCTGGTGCGAACTGATATCCACTTTTTACAAGAACTTGGATGGGGGGGGGGGGGGATAAAGGGATGAAAGCCTTAATTAGGCACCCCTCGGCGGACTACTGGTCCTAACACGATGCACAAGAACAGTACGAAAGGACCATTAGCCCGAGGAGGCGGTAATTGAGGTGTTCGTTTCTCTACCCGGGTAGAGGCCATAGTCGTCGTGCGGTCCCACGAGAACATCTGCAACAGATAAGCAACTACAATGCACAGATTTGTACCAGCCGTCCGTGGTGGAGCCTACCAGTGACAACGTCCCCTACCCCAAGAAAAGTGTTAAGTAAAAACTTACACTCCAAGACCGTTTGCCGCGGTCGTTTTTCATGGTCTTGCACGTCAACGAGTAATGCGTATCGCACTCTTCTTGCTGGCAGAGTCAAGTCAACTAATAATAGAAACACAGCATGAATAAAACAACCGCTAATCCATAAGTCTAGAAGAGTAGCTGAGTTGTATGGCCGTGAACTCACTAGCTGTAAAAGTCAAGCTTTGCATGAAAATGGTAGACACGAAAAGTGTATGATGGTGTTGGGTGCAACTTGTTGAATTACTCACCAAAACAAGTATGCACATAATGGCAGCTAAAGAAACCAATATCTGGAAAACTTGAAAGATTCGTCTTGGAAGTCTCTACTTCTAAAATTACCTGAACTTTCCTCCTTTTCCACTGAGCGAAGAATACAATTGTAACAATTAAGAGAGATGGCAAATACACCGAAAGTAGCGCAGAGTTCCAATCGGCAGAAAATTTCATATGCAGAGAGGAGGAAGGAAATGGAGCTGAATAAGAACGCTTCAGGAATTTTCTTTTAATCAACTTACAAACCAAGTTCGGCTTGCACAAGCATGATTTGCTGTTCAGGTCGTAAGTCTCGCAATTTGTTCACTATTAGGAGTTCGTCTGAAAAAATTATTATATGATGATCAACTGCAGATAACAGTGATTTCCTACCTCCAGCATTATCGGTTTGTAATTCGCAATCAAATAATTCAAATGGATGTTTCCATTCGGTAGCTGAGCAGACAGCGAAGTCCTTTACTCTGTAATGAATTTTTCAGTCAAAAAAATGACTTTTGCTTCTGCTCTCTTCTTCGGGGATGTTCCAGGTCCCTAGTTTGTGGGATTAAAGAGTTCGAAAAAAAATGATGTTAAAAATGGCATTAAAAGCTGCTGACACGAAAATCTCATGTAGGCAAACGATTTATCAAATCTTTCTGTCAAGAATTATTCTATTTTCTTTGAATGACTCTATAAATTCCTACAACTTTGTTTTGTAAGTTTATTAGGTTGCAGAACAATTTTTATAAATGGATTACCTCTTTTATATTTTTTTCGCAACCTGAGATAGATAAGTTGGTCCGTGCTATATTTCAACTTACTCTTCTTTCGGCAACCTTGTTTTGATTTCCTTGCCTTCGTTAATTTGCGAGTTCCCACTTTGAGATTATTATACACAATTTTCTTACTGTCTTTAGTTTCTGGTCTGCATACCAAGTGATTTTGTTAAGCACTGATTAGTTTCTTTGCAAGAAACTTTCCTAGTGAAATAGACAAAATGCATTATATTTACGGTAAATTTCAAGGTCAAAGTTTTCCATGGAGAAAGTGATCATGCGCGATCCCTCCTAATGAGTTCTGGAATAACGAAAATGTTTAAAAATGTTCTTTGTGAAACAACTTTAACGAAACCCTTTTTCCACCCTTCTTTTCAATTACCGCAACATTTCCAGCCAGGGCTTGGCACGAGGTGGCTTACAAGCAAGCTGGATATCGTTTTTGGGACGAAAAGCAAAGGGGGTTTCGTTTTTGTGACCGAAGAGACACGGAAAATTGGCGACGGCGACCTTTTTTTTTTAGTCGACGTTTCGTTTTTTGGGGGATTTTGGGGAATTTTTCAAGTTTTTAGAGGAAATTTGGTTAAGGGTCAAAGGGGACTTCGTAAAAATTCCCAAAAGTCAAGGGGGACTTCGTTTTTTCCATTTTCATCTAGCCACCTCGTGCCTAGCCCTGTTTCCAGCTTTCATTAATTATGGATAAAATCGAGGAACTTGTATCAAGAGATCATTAGTATCGACTGAACATGACAATTTAAAATGGCTAAGAAAAGTAGAAAACGCGTGACCGCTAAAATCGCGAAGTCTTGGTTGTCAAATTGTTTTGATGTAAATCATAGGTTCAGGATTTCCTGCTCCTTCACTTACGATCTAACTAATTCAAATATAATCCCACCGATGATAAAGCGAAATAACTCCTGTTGCTGGTGAAAGCACAATAGTGACTGTATGTGGCTCAGGAATCGTTCGTACTCTTGGTAACCATGGTTCAAACTCTTTAGGAAGCTCAAAATCGTCGAAAAGGTCTCTGAGCGCCAGTCGATCATCTGTCCATCGATACATCACCACAGCGTCAACGATGAGAGATCGCTGGAAAAAATAAGAATTTTGAATTTTAGAATAAGCTAAAAATGTGGCCTCACCGTCTTGATTTGGGTTCCAACTAGATGAAACTCAATTCCTATCTTGAAGAATGTTCCATTTACATTGGACATAAGATTTTCGAATGCTGTAGGCCTCACAGAGTTGTAGTAGTACTTGAATCTTCGAAAAATTTCATTTCGCTCAGTGAGGGATAAGCTGGAAAATAAGTGCTTAGAAATTTTTGTAGCTCAAGTTTTTATTTTGGGGACATTACCCTGTAACTGTAGCGATAAGTATTGGTATTATAGTGGTTTTCATTATTTATCCGCATTTTTATGGCTCATATCAGTAGAATAGAATAATCTGAAACTGTAAACAAAGTACAAAAGCAATCGATAACAAAAATATTATACGGAAGAGGTGACTCAGAAATTTGTGTTGTCAAGAAAAATAACTGGAAACAATGGCAGTATTTTTCTTTTCCTCCTCCAATGTGAAACCATGAAATCCTCCATTAAAGAACGTTTCTAGACGACAGCTAACCTTTGATTCAACTGGATTGGCGGCTGGAAGGCGGGACTTTGTGATCTGATTAAGGCCGCTCGCGCTCGCGACGCAGTTTGCGTTTCTCTCTCGCGCGTGCTCTTTGATCATTCTTTAGCCCTAACTAGGTCAAGAAGCTCCGCCTTCCAACAGCCAATCCATTTGAATCAAAAGGTACACACCTCAACGATCTGGCATAACAATATGCTTTTCTGCTGAATTAACTTCTATTAAATGGAAGAATGTTTTTGATGACATTAAGTATCAATTCAACAGAATAAAAAATAATAGAACTAGCAGAAATCTCCCTTCCCAGACTGCAAGCTTTCAACAAGGCACTCTGGAAGGATAAATAGAAGAAAAAGCTTAGGTGTAATGAAAAGTTTGAGTCCTACAATGCTGTATACAAAGAAAATGTACATTTGTTTGAGGAGTGACATCAGTAGATAAACCGCTAAAGTTGTTCAACAATGAGCTGGATTGGCAAACAGATTCAGTTTTTATTGTTTTCAATGTTCACATGTTTCTATCATTGAAGATACTTCGTTTACTGCGTTCTACAGTTATGATGAGGGAGCATAGATATTTGACAACAATGTTGACCTTTACCACTATCACAACAATGTTGACCTTTGCCACTATCCTTCTGACGGCTAAATTTTCAAGCAAACACTTTGAAACTCATGTGTTGGAAGTATAAACACGATAGCTTCAAAGCGACACATGTAATGAGGCAAACGATCGAAAAGAAAGATATTTCTGATCTTCGAAAAAAGCTGCTAACATGGAATTGGTTAGAAGTTGAAGTGGCCATTTCAAACAATCTGCATATCGAGGTAAAACGTTGACTCCAAAGCTATCTTTTATATCTGCTGATCGCCTTTGCAGACAAAGTTATGCGCAGATTTACTGCAAAGAAATCCTACAAAGAATTGCGAAATTGAGCGCATTAATGCCCTTTTGGCTAAACTTCAGATGGAGGCCACAAGAAGTAACCTAGTTTCATGTTTTGACTTAGCATTAAGCCGCCATGGCTTGGCTCTGTGTGGCCAAATTTATCCTTTGCACGCACGATTTCTTTGCAAAATAATGGCCTTCAGTGGCTTAAAGCTTCGTCCGCAGAAATGTTCAGTAAATGTGTGAGACCGATTCAGAGTCAGCGTTTTATGTTGCATCTAATGGTATGTACTGCACTTTGTTTGGATCGGTCACTTCGATTCCTGACCATCTCCTTGTAAGGATTCTTAGTACGAAAAACATCGAAATTGCAGGTACGCAGTGAAAGTTTCTTTGGAACGGAAGATTGATGCAAAAAAGATCAGTTGCGCAAAAACGAAAGCGATTCATCACTCCCAGTTTTACGCGATTACATTTTCCCATAATTTGGAAAAAGGATTTTTCAACCAATGCGAGAAGTACAAAAAAAGCATGAATAACATCACTCGCGTAAATTGCTGCAGTCAACTGATAATGCTCAAAAAGAATTTAAAAGACAAATATTTCAAATAGTCATTCAGGGGGTCACTTGTGAAAAAGTATAACTAGCAGAAGTAATTTCACGAAAGGGCTATGGTGGAAATTACGATCTCCGAACAGAGACGATCGAGGGACAAACACCTCTAAGTAGTGCGAATACTGGTATTTGAGTAGTTAGATGTTCTTTCAAGCACCATTAAGTAGTAAATACAACACTTGACCACTAAAATGAGGGTAGCGAGTAATAAAATGCACCAAAAGTATTATTCAAAAAAATTTACTCGTTTCTGAAATTCAGTTTCAATTGGCCACAACTTTTTTCAAAAGTAAATTTTTAAATAAATTAGGTTACAATCCATAAAGCATTTAAAACTAACTTTAAAGGCCTTTTTAGCCGAACATCCCCAGACATTTCCTAACGCTTAGTTTGGGAAACTATACCGGATTTGGATTACAGAAAGGCATAAGCTTCGCTCAATATATAACCAATCGTCGATCGAGCAGTAATACTAAAGTCGGATTTCAATAAATTTTTTTCACACAAAAAATGAAACAAAATTCAATAAGAACACTTGTGAATAGCTCTTTTCATGATGGGAAAATGCATTTTTCGGGTTTATTCATCTTAGCTGCCAATCAGGATTTTTGTTGTCTCCTAATAATGGAAGAATACCAAAGTAACTGACTTGGTGATTGAAGACGATATGTATACATATCTACACGCGTCCCTAAACGCTAATTCAAAATCTGCTTTCCTTTTTCTGCGGAACAAATATCCAATTTTGTTAAGCTTTGATTGGCATAAAATTGACTGCTGTAGAAAATCACTTGAAAGTGAGTAATCAATTTTATAACAAGTAAATCCAACGAAGTAACAAAGCGGTGGGAATCCGTATAGGTTTATTTTGAGCTTTTCGCTGAAATTAAGCCACTGAGTGCTTGTCAAGTTAGGACAACAAATATTCATAACTTCTTTCAGAGAGTGGTTCCGCACAGAAGGAAAGCAGATCTAGAATAAGAGTTTAGAGGCGCCTAGTGATAAACATATCGTCTTCAATCATCGACATATGTTGGTATCCTTACCCTGTAAGAATGAATGTCCCTAGGTCCAACCTGGCTGTATAGAGGTCCCCTAATCGCATGGTGCCCACAATTTTCAAGAAGCTCAGATGTATTTCCACCACGGGTTGTATTTATGCTTGAAATTTCTAAGTCCAAAAATTCGAAATTCTGTAATGATGAGCATTTTGTTGTACAAGCCCTAAGCAAAATTACACAAGTTTTCAAATTTTCTTTTCTTGCAGGTGGATTTTATGGAAGTAGAATGAGATCCCAGAATTCCACTCTTGCATGGTTGGTCTTCTAAGGTCGGTACCACAGAATGAAAAGAGCTCTATAAAATGAAAAGAACATCTTGAAAACTAGAGACAAAGAGTTTTCGCAATGAAAGCAAACAATATCATGAAAAAATGGTTTTTACCCCAAAACCAGCAGTCTAAAGAGATTCATGAAAAACGGGGATAATTTTTGGAAAAGCTCATTATAATCACTTATGAAAATTTGATCCCCTGAAATCACGAAAACTTCAGATGATGTGGGAGTGTGCACGACACGATACTGAGTGACTCACAGCAATTGAGTAACTCAAACAGAAAACAAAAAAATTAAGATCGCAACTCGCTGAGATGAAAAGGGCGGCAATTTTTGCATTAGGCCGTCGCCTAAACTTGTCGTTCTGGTTCACTTTGGAGTGTGTAGACAACTGTTGGCTTAGAGCGCCGGTTGAAATTCAATCCAAACCTTATGTAATCAATAGCTGGATCTTCTCCTGTTCTAGAAGAAACGAAAATTGAGATGGAGTTGAGTGACATAAAAACTTTGTTACTTCCGGTCGCCTGGGTAGGAAAATGTTTTTTGACTCCATGGTGACTGCTCAGTCATCGCAGTCGATAACTCTCAAATAAGATTAGATTTATAAAAACTGCATTGGGCGCATGAGACGGTTTCGCCTCATCAATTAGCAAGAACTGTTTTCCATTTTTACTCCAGTTCATACGTCCCATTTGTGATAAAAGTACACATAAAGCAGTCGTTCTGCCAAAGAACCAAAATGACTTGGGAAAGTTGAAGATTTTATCATTTGATGCATAACAAATACGATATCTTTTCTTTTTCGGACAGTGGTTCAATCTATTATTTGTCAATAAATCTGACAGTTGTAAGTCAAAAAGAATTCCAAATAAATTTAATCTACTCCTAATCTATTACTCTAATTTCATCTATTACTTCTTATTAATTTTATGGAATCTTATCTATTTAATTCCAAGCTATTAACTGCGTGGTGTAAATTCAAGAAAGGCAATGTAATGCAAATAATTTACGACCGAATGAGTCACTTCACTTAATCACTTCGTCTGCGTTAACTTTTTGTTTCCGTGTCAACTCGGGTTATTTTGGCAGTTTTGGCAAGCACCCACGCGAACCCCAAAGAAGGCTCGAAAAATTTTACTAGGCCATGGAAGCATTTGATTTTTTTTCATTAGTAGAGACATTACGATATTTCACGAATGATAAGCTATCGAAACCAAATGTTAATTTTTTTCATCAAATTGCACTGCAAACTCTTGGCGAAACAGTTAACGGAGACACTCACAAACACCGCACTGATCTTCCTTTTCAGTCAAAGAATGCAATGTTTTGAAAATTTCACATTCTGGAAAAGATTTTAAAAAAAGAAAAAGATGAGAGATATTCTGACTTAAGAAATATTGTGTCTTTCTGTTATAAAAGAGTGCTTGAATTTTTTGTTTTAGTAGAAAAGAACAAATTATAAACAATGCACGTAACTTTTTTTAGTATGCGTACGCAATATTGCGTTGCGGATTTTCGGCATATTTTGGTTGTCTTGAAAGTGGAAGGACAGGAGATGGAATACGATAAGGTCTTGAGGGTGAAAGTCTCCTAGAAGACTTCACATTAAAACAAGGAAATCAGACCAATATAATAGTTCCAGCAAGAAAAGTGCAAAGCAAGATTAAGAGTGATTATAATTTTGTCAACCACTACCTCACACAATAAGAAAATCGGAAGTTCTCACGTTAAAAAAAAATTCGAGGAAAAAGGGAGAGTAAGAACTTAATGGTAAGATTCTGTCGACCACAACCTCCCAGCATAATAATCTGTACCGCCAAAATTTACCGGTGTCCTTACCAACGCATCGAACCATAAGTAGTACGTACATGAAGTTCGCGTAAGCGTGAAATCCTAACAACCTCGTGATTTGCGCAGACCAGTCGCATACTACGTACTTGACGTCTACGGAATGAAATCACACACACACGCGGAGCATCGCGGGCACACGATTGTGGGTTTCTAGATTGAATGGCACCGACTCGATCGCATGCACTTCAAAGCGGGGAAAAAAGAGACATTGGTACACAAATGCGATGCTCGGTTCAGTGGGGAAGATGATTTCGTGTAAATAATGATGTGTGTGGGCAAAAATTTGAGTTCGGTGGAAGTAGAAGGAGTTTATAAAAATAAATGTTTTTAGAAGGCCCGAAATAAAGGAATCGAAACGACAACAAAAAATATTAAATACGGCTTCGGCTAGTTAAAAATGGCTATAGACAGATGAACATTTTTTCACGCACATTTGTTCTCGGTGAATGCGCCTAATCTGGACAAAGTTTTTTCTAAGAAGATAATTGGTTGAAGTTTACAATCTCTTTTGATTAGAATCTGAGACAGGTTTAGTTTGGAACGCTGAAACCTAAAGACAAAAAAATCATAATCTTCAATCCTTGAACAAAGTTGGAATAAGATGCTTCAGATAAAGATTATTCATATCCTTAGATAATAATTTAACCACCAATTGCCAGTTCGAAATTTTTTTATGAGGAACATAACGGCACAAGTGCCCATTGAGCTTTATCTCCACAAAAACTTCCGTACAATGGCTATCTGCCTAAGCTCTTACACCTTCACAGGTAATAATTAGAGCTTTAATTATAGCCTCAACGAGATAATCTGCATTCACGCAATAGGAAAAAATTAGCAAGGAAGAGGTTGCTCGATGGCGGGTATAAGTCAGAGAAAGAATAGCATTGTGACTGCGTTTTTGGAAAATTTCAAAATTTGATTGAGCAGTGGCTCTCGCATATACGACTGCTTCAACTGGATAAGAACTGAGTAACAATGGTTCCGTTTAGTAAGGGCCTTGATTCATTAATTTGTCCCCCATTACTGCCATTGTGGCTCGATCGTAATGGAGTGTATATTTTGCCAACAACTTGAGAAGGATAAGAAAATCATTTGGAAATAATGGAAACGATAATAGATTGAGGTCTTTGGTTTTAATTTTAGGCATCGCTAAATGGAATGAACAGCTTTACAATGGGCAACGTAGATTGACTTGGAATCCATAAAAGTTTCGTTATACATGAAACTACCATTTACATGAATTATAAGGAACAATTGTGTGTGAGGTTTTGCCTGAAAAGTGCTTGTAATTTGAAGCATGTGACTTCATTATGTAAGAACGCCAAAAACGACTAGCAATCAAAATTTGGCAACGTTTCTGATTACCCTTGATTTATAATGCATGGCAAGCAATCTCAAATACAAGCAAATTGGACTTTGCATTCAATCTCCTTGATGCAAGTGAAATCACATTGAAAGGGAAAATTGAAAATTAGTAAATTTCGCTGAGCATAATCATCTCTTACATTTATGGATTTTTGGATGTTTCCAGAATCCAGCAATCATCATTTGGATAAATAGCTGATAATCTCGCTGGAAATAATCAAAGCAAAAAAAGCAGTTTTGCATTTTTCAGTAATTTTTGGACGCTTTATCCTAATACAAACTATTGTGACATTTCCAATCCACCTCAGAGGGTAAGATCAGAATTTTCTCGGTCATAATACAAGAAAAATTCGAAGACATAAATTACCATTTTCGGTTTGTAGCTGAGTGGGTAGGATCAAATTTAGACACAGTAATTTACAACTGAAACTAATTTGTTTCGAAATTCTTTTTTTCAGAAAAAACGAAAGTTTTATGATGCCAATGCGATCCGAAAATATAATGATAGGCAGCAGCAGAAATAAAAGCAGGCAATGAGCAAAGTTCGCATTGTTAGAAGTGAGCGAATGTCATGCGTAGCTTTAGCCTCAAAGGTGAAAATCTCGATGAGAACATGATTGATGGAGTTTGGGGATTCAAAAATGGGAATAAAATTTGAATCACTCACATGCTTCCAGCAAGCGTAAATTCGCTTGTGCATTAAAAAATACGTCTAGCTATAGGCAATTCAAAATGGCTAAGGATTGTTTTCTGGGTGGTTCTCCCAAATATTAGCAAACAGAAATGAGCAATCAAAACTCTGTACAAATTGTATGCGACAAAGCCAACTGTAGTCATTTGCAAATGCTAAAAAAGCTTGGAAAAGCTTTGCAAGCAATACACCTTCTGCCTGTTTTATTAGCTCTCAAAACAAGCTTTCCTACAAGCTACCGCCATTTAAAAAATTTTAAAAATTGTAGATCAGTAGGCAAATTCGTAAACTTCAGAAAATCTAATTCTTTCCAAGCGGCTGGACCCTTCTCTCACGAAACCCGTTTAGAAGAATTCAAAAACTCCTCAATGGTAAGCACTTTTACCCAGATTCTTATCTGCTTTGCTAGCTCAATTTGGGTTTTCCTTGACAAATACATTTACACTTTATTCGATGTGCTATAAATATTGATTGTCGCGCTGCCATAGACGTCTTATCAGTTAGCTGACCAGCGGTGCCTTTCTTTTTCAAGAACAACAGCTGCTATTTTGATTCCATCATCACTACTTCGTGTTCGGACTCTGTTTGCATTGTCACATCAAGTTGAGTGACTAGTGCAGAATATCCAAGTTTTTGCATTGCTATCTATGATTGAAAATGGAGCTTTTCAAAACTTGGAGACCTTGTTCCTGCGTGTCTTTTCTCATCGAAATGTTTTAAAGAAGGAAAAAAGTTGAAAAAGATTTTGGTTTAGTAAATCTTAGGAAGGTGGAGAAAAGTGTTGGTATACATAGTTCTCATACTTAAGAGAATCGGAAACTTATGCGTTCGTTAACTTATCTTACCTAGAAATTCTATACTATTCTATACGATCACATATCTACTGATAAAAAAATGGCTTGTTTATCAAGCTTCAACTGCAAGGTGTTTAAGGCTTCTGATTATTTTCACTTTGAAACATTTTACAATATTAATATTAATTTTAATTAATTTTACAATATTACAATATCATTTTATTGCTCACAAATAAAAAGTCTAATAGCTGGCAAATTTTAAACGAAGGTTTGGTCTTGTTCCTTATTTGATTCGGATGCTATAAGCAAGTTACCTATCATGGAATTTGAGTTGAAGCACTCAGCGCTACGTCTGATACGCTTGAACTGCAAGTAAGGTCATCACAAACCGTGATTGAAGCCTTGTTTTTCCATCTTGATGATCCTTGAAAGATAGATAGATAAGATCGTCAGGTATTTTTAGACTATGCAGGTATTTGATTAATAATTTTTGTTGTGATATTATGCATCATTAGATATTTGAGTGCGTTATATGTATTTGGATATGCTTACGCAACTCTCATTATTGTTGTAAAACACTCAAAGTTTATTTTCTCAAGATTCTATAATTTTGGATTCTCTTAGCAGTCAAAACTCAGACACTCAAGATCGTACTTTGCTCGCTGTATTGACATCTTCTGACTTATCTTAATTCATTGTAGGAATGTGACCTTATTTGGAAGGCGTGAAATTTTGTAATACGGCAAGTAGTAATCGAGATTGTAATTCAAAAAATAGTGGCTGTGTGAATGTAGGCTTTGTTTATCGGTTGCTTAATACTTATCTTGAGTGGAATGCATCACCAAATGTGAGGCATACATGGTAGAATCCAATATTAAATTTCTCATATTCGACATCATAGATTCGTTTATGCATTTTCACCACTTTTGTAATTCCCATTTTTTAGTCTCGTACAAGCTAAGCTCTATTTCATAATAAACAGCGAAAATGGCGATTTCCATATTCAGGGTTTTTTTTACAATGGACCACGGAGGAGATCATGGAGGAAAGAAGCGTAGAATGTGGATGTGGTTTCATACGGTAACTAATGATACGCTCCTCTTTCAAGACTGGTGGATACAAGACACAAAAAGTGAGTTTCTTACGGCCAGCAAGCGTCATTTAAAAGAGATAATTCTAGCTATGATATGGTCCTGTGTAGTCATTTTCGTACTTGCTATTGTGTTGGAAGCGCTAAGGTAATTTAGCAAACTAGTTTATTGAGACATTTTTATTTGATTGTTTATTTAGATGGCTCCGCTGGGTTGCTCATGTGCGAAGAATGGAAGAAAAAACGTAAGTTTTCTTGAGAAACTTATTATAACTATTCTGTTTTCGTGTACATTCAATTATGAGACTTTTTAGTGTATATTTAATAAAAAATTGAAATTAGTTCCTGTAAGAAGACTTTTTCGCATTCGAATATCTTAGGTTAACGAAAAATTGAAAAATTATTACAAAAAATCAATTGGGAAGTACCCTTTGATTCAACAGAATTGACGGCTGGAAGGCGACCGCTCGCACCCGCGACGCAGTCTGCGTCTCTCTTGCGCGTGTGTTCATCATTCATTCTGCTTGATGAGGCCTCGAAGCCCCGCCTTCCAGCCGTAAATCACATTGAATCAAAGGGTAAAATGTATGTTTGTAGTTCAATATTGTTTATGGTTTCTAGAATTTAAAAGTGACGAAAGCTTTAAATTTCAGATGGTGTTCACATTTGCTCAACACTTCTCACTATGTGGACACGCTGCTCTTCTTTGCACATTGTGTGCTAGCTTACGTTCTTATGCTCGCTTTCATGACATTCTCCTTATGGCTATGTCTATCTCTTTGTTTAGGATTAGCAGTTGGCTATTATATTTTTGGCACAAAACGCTTTAAAATCTGTGAATAAACATTTTGATGTTGTAGTGAAAAGAGGGGGGGCGCTCGTTACGTGCGGGCTGCCAAATGGAAAATGTCGCAACGCGGCGTTTCAGTAACCGCGCGGGGGAAGCAGCAATGTAGAAAACTTGTCAGATTTATATCACGAGATTACCAATGCTTTTTCTATATTGTTAGTGCTTTACCTCCTTCAATTTGTGTCTTTTTTGTCCTTTAACAGCTCATTTTACAATTTTTGTGGCAAAACTTCAAATAATTAAGTAAAACTAATATAAGAATAGTCTGTGAACCCCAACAAAGGATGAGAAACTGAAAAACTATGTGCTGTGGATCATGCTGGCTAAATTCTCCGAGTGCGGTCACTCGCAGCCTGTCGCGCGCGACGTTTTCCAATTGGCAGCCCGCACGTAACGATACGCCCCCGTGAAAGAGCTGATAGTTTACCAACATCAGATAGAAGCAAAATATCAAAGAACTATTCATTCAGATCTCATTATATGTAAAGCAAGTGTCTATCTGTATACATGCACAGATACATTATCGAAAAGTCCTGTAATCCATTCAAACCAGCCCCACACAACTTACGAATAGAAGGTTTATCAAAACCATAGATCGTTTTTCAGAATTTGTCCATTCTTTGCACTCAATAGAGCTAAAAGGCTGCGATTTGGGACAGAAGGGTGAATGACCATGCTACTGCGAAATCAATGCCAATAATTCTAAAAACCAAAATGTTTTTTTTTATTGAGTTTCAATTTCTGCAAACTGAAGGATGGTGAAAGGCATTGGAAATTCCACGGAATGTCTGAATACAAAAGAATGAAACCTGCCACTTCTATCATCTTTTGAAGAATTCAAGCTGGAGGTTAGCATCTGGCGCAAGGAGGCAGCGAAAATGATCCTAGGATTATAGAGTTTACGAATGTTAACACGTTCTGGACCGGTGCTGCACATGGTGCAGCACGCGCCTTTCAAGGATCTTTTCAATGTTTGCAGGAGGTTTTCTTTTTGTCCAGAATTATCGAATTAAAGCCTAAGCTCCTCCTTTTCAAATGGCTCTGTAGAGCTGTGTCGACGGTATTTGTTTAGAAGATATGAGGACAAATCGAACAGCAGTTGCAATGAAGTGCGGCAACGCGAACGACGCGTGCGACGTCGCAACTTTTCTTTGCTCCTATTTCAAAGTGAAAAACCGTGGTTTCAGTAATGATGTGTACTGTATACAACATAGATACTTTTGAATAGAATTAGAAACTGTGTTCTTGTTCCTACTTTCAGGAAAGCACACACGTCCTTCTCAGGCGAAAAAATTCAAACACTTCGAATTCACTCAGAAGTTTGGGTATGGGTCTTATCTGACATGGTAATTACAGATGGAAGCACAGTCTACGAATTATAAGGTTCCTTTGTTGGCTAACGGCTGAAAGTACCCTTTCTTCCGCCGCGCGCGATTTCGCGGTCCGAAACGTGTTAAAAGCAGTGTTCCGGCAGGTTCTGCACTCCACTTTCTGCATGTTCGAGGCCTCTTTGACACGTAGAACCCGAATTTGAGCTTTGGACGGGTGAAAAGATCGTTTTTGTGGCGTTTACCCAATTCCACAAGGCAACGGACGAGAGTTTCAGTGCGAAGTTGAGCAGCCCTGACACGAAAACCGTGCCGCCAGTAATTTTTGGTGGATAGCATGCAAAATGCGGTCGTGGGGTCTCGCGCAGAACAGGTAAGCGAAGCCGTCCCAGCGCACGCCGAATAGGGTTGCGCGTCGATTCTAGGGCTATTTTCTCGGCGCAGGGGTAACATCAACCAGCCACACTGGAGCTGGAGGTTAATGAGGAGATCAGAAACCCTACCTACTTCTGCAGCTTTATCACACTGTCAGGACATGAAGGGAATGGACATCAAAAAAGACTTTGCCTCCATCAGTTTTGATTGTTGGTAAGGCAGACACATTTATGATGCTTAGGTCAAAATGTACTCATTTTGATAGCGCTAATATGTTTGAAAGGGTTCTTGCACAGAACACTTGCAAGTTGCAACCAGTTTTGGAAATAGGGTAGCCTTTGCTCAAAAAGTTCCATGAAGGCAGTAGGCTATGCTCAAAATACACAAATTAGCAGCAAATATACATGAGAACTATTCGTTTTCCTTCTTGCTATCCCCAGCAAGAATGCAGTTAAGTGCTGAAACTTGCAGAAATACATAAAAACTTGGTGTCATCGATCCTTTGAAATAGAAAACCAGCCAAAGCTACCATCAAATGGAAAGATAATTTTCGTTCATCACAAAGCTTTTTGGCAAAATTTAGGTAGGAGGCATGAAAGGCTGCTCGATCCAAGAAAATTTTCATAGAATTAATGAAGTCTCCCTCATGTGGCCCTTTTTTCAATCAAGTGTTGTGAGCGATGTATCTCACACTTGAATGTCATTTATACAATATTTGCCGAAATTTAGGCAACTTAAAAGTAACTAATTGATATGTTTTTTGACACTTTTTCTAAAGGCAGCGTACATCCAAAATCTAAGTTACCCAGCTCTCTATACCGTGTATATCTAGGGCCCAGAAGAAGACCAAACTGCGTTGGTCCGGTCTCCCAATGTTGCTTCTGAGCAGAGGAAACCCGCCTGGTTTTTTTTCACTCCGCCCCTTTCCTTTCACTCCGCCTCCTTCGGACGATATCCACGTTAGCGTAAGCTGCAGTTGCCGTTGCAGTCGCTGTTGCAATGCCGTTGCAACTGCAACTGCAGTTGCAACAGTGCAGTTGCTTTCTGCGGTCCGCCTCCTTACGACGAATCCATGACAGCATACGCTGCACTTGCAATTGCAACTGCTCATCGCTGGCATGCTGACGGGGTCGAGCAATTCGAAACTCGTCCTCCCTTTGAGAGAGGATCCCCGGGAACCGGAGTTCCTGGGCCCCCTGGAGAATCTCAATATCATAACCGCAATCAGGGGCATGCAAAAGGCCCCAGAATGACAAAAACATTGAAGGCGAAATTTTGGATGTACGCTGCCCTTAACACACTGACGACCTTGTGTATCCGCATGTATGCACGCCCTGCCTCCCATTCAGCATTTTCGTGCATCCGCGCATATGCACGCTAGTTTTTTAGATGCAAACGAAAATTTTAAGGTAACTTCTATGTAGTAATACTACTAGTGACCTGATTGTCTTACAGAACACAGGGCATTGCGGCAGCTGTTCAGAAGTTTTGGCAGCGAAATTGGGTAATCAGTCCGTTTTTGATGTAGTTAGTACATGCTAATTTCTTTTCCAAAGAAGGTGGAAACTGTGTATAGTTGTTTTGAAATCAAACAAGGATGAATCAGGCAAAAAACACCTGCTATTACAACGCTTTTCTCGAGGAGGGATTACTTAGATATAACTGCATGGTTAATTGAAGGGAAAATCGATGCAAAAACCTTGATTTGTGTAAATCCTGGTAAGGCTCTGTGATATACCTGTATGTCTGAACAAAGGGTACTTTTCCGTTATCCGGACCCATTTTTTTCAGAGGATATATTATTTCTTCTATCCAACCATATTTGATCAAAATTTGACAGGAAGGGAAGTCAACCTTCTGCCACGTGTCAACAAAATTTCACATGTCAACTACATGATTGACAGGTTTTACAAGGAGTTTCATGTCCCTGCCTACGCTGAGTCCGTCCCGTTTTTTGATCAATACTTACCACAATTTTCAGTTTAACATTTCTAGAATTGAACAATAGCATCGTAATAACGTCTTTCTGTTTTCAGATGAACATATTCAGTGCCCAGGACAGAAAAGAGCGCCGTCAAATTTTTGCAAAAGAGAGATGTACTGCCCCGACGCAAATCATGTGGAAGCGGCCATAGGATGAAGCTTTACTTCGGATCCAGCATATTTTGGAAGTGCAGCAAGACCACTTGCCGGCAGAAGACCAACATCCGTACTGGGACTTGGTTTGTTAACTCACGCATTTCCTTCGTTACAGCGATCCGTTTCATCTACTGCTGGGCCAAAGAGCTGACTTCAATTGAATGGTGCAAAAACGAGCTTGTTATGAACCACAATACGGCCGTCGACTGGAACAACTACATGCGCGATGTAGTTACCGAACAGCTAATTCAGCGAGGGAATAAAAAAATCAGAGAAGAAGGAAAAATTGTTGAAATCTATGAAAGCTTGTTTACAAGACGCAAGAATCATGCCGGTCGCATTCTTCCTCAGCAGTGGATTTTTGGAGGTATTTGCCGCGAGACGAAGGAGTGTTTTTTGGTCAGAGTACCGAATCGTAATGCCTCAACGCTGCTAAAATCAATTACGGAGAACATTGAAGAAGGATCATTATCTACTCTGATTGCTGGCATGGCTATAATACAGAAGATCTCACAGAAGCAGGATTTGAACATCCCAAGGTCAATCACAAATACAACTTCGTTGATCCAGAGACAGGAGTTCACACACAGACGAAGCGCTTGTGGGGAGCGGCTAAGTGGCGAAACAAGCGACAGCGCGGTACTTCACGCCGTCATCTGGATTCTTTTCTGGCCGAATTCGCTTGGCGAAAACAGTTTGAATGAGAAAATACTTTTGAGTTACACGCCGCAACGTACTTCAGCCGACACAACAGCAGCGCTCCTGGCGCAGTGTTACCTAAAGCATCCAGTCATGTATCTGCCCCATTCCCACCTCCCTGTTTTTGCCGCGGGGAATCTTCAAAAGCCGGGGTTTTGTGGGCCCCAAGATTCGAACGCGGCTTGCTCGGCGGGGCGGCCGCCGCGCGCGGCGTACCTCCTGACGTGCAGCCATTTACAACAAAAATGTCCTAACTCTAGAGACTCACTCTTGGTGCTTAAAGTAATGCTTTGATCCAAAAAGAATGTCTCAGCGAAAAAACTGCCATTTTATCCTACAAGAAACTCACTTTTAAGTCCAAAACCGGTGCTATAATTATTGAAGAATTTCTTCAGAAAAGCCTACGTGGCGTTTACAAACCGCTATTTACAGAAAAACCTACGATCCTAGAAGCTCACTCTTGATGAAAGCTTTCATAAAGAATTTCTGAAAATGCCCTAAGTGCCGCTTACATTCAGAAAAATGCCACACTGGGACACGACCCTCGAGAAGTTCCATGATATAATTTTGCGTGGATGAATTTTTCGCAGAAGAACAAATGCGGATATAAATTAGCCTCTAGATTTTCTGTGGCGTTCTAGTCGCCATAAGGGCAACAACCAACGTGACCTATAGGCGATGTCACCCCGCATCGGTCGTGGGTATCCGCGAGCTGAGGCTGCGCACGCGCGCCGCATGCGGCGGAAATGATATGCGAGCGCGGTAGCTGGCATGAGTCGGATACGTGACCGCTAACAACTCCGCCTTGCTCTTTCCGATTGTGCTCTTGTCATTCTCTGCGATTAACTTCCTTGAGTGCGTTTATGACTAGTTTTCATCTATTTGTATTGCAATGAAATACTTTCAGGTTTCAGCTACTACAACGCTGGATCAAAACAAAGTGGAATTTTTCAACTCTTGACAGATCATAAAGCGATACTCGGTCATGGTGGGTTTGGGGCTGTCGGATTAGTATCGCGTTGTGCATTCATTGCAGTGTTTTTTGATAGCGATGTCTCTACGAGCACTGAATTCGAGTTTCCAACAACTAAGGCTTTTCCTATCATTGATCAAGGTATTTGCATAGGAGAGTTTTTATATGTTCTACTGGAGCCTTGTTTCACTTCCTTCTTTGCTTTCCTTGACTCCTTTTTAAGCCATTGAAACACTGAATAGTTGAAAGTTGCAGTTTTTGATATTTGTCTCAAATGTGTAGCAAAGTATCTCGTTTCTGCGTAAGCAAAAGTGATCGATTCCTTCGTTCGATCTCGTCCTTTGTTCTAGCCATTCTATTTCCCGCTAACATCTCACCAAACTCAGATTTATGCTGTGTGTTTCACTTATTCGAGCAACATTGAAAAGAAAATTGAAGTTACTTCTCTAATTTTTCAGAAAAAGTCAAGGAGAACAAAGGAAGTGCAACAAGGCTAAAGCAGAAAGCGGAAATATATGAAAACACTCCTAGTGCAATGATACCTCGACCAATGGTGGAAAGAGCCTTCGAACTGAAGACTTAAAGTCAGTGCTCGTAGAAACATCACTATCGAAAAACATTGCAACGAATGTACAACGCGATGCTAATCCAATAGCTCCAAACCTACCAATGTCCGAACATCGCTTGATGACCTGACAGGATTAGTCAATACAAGAAGACTTTGTTCTGCCAGCGTTGTAGTAGCTGAAACCTGAAAGTATTTTTTGCTAATAAAAATAGAAAATTAGATGCATTCAAAAGAAGTTGATCGCAGAGAAAGACAAGCACAATCGAAAAGAGCAAGGCGAATCAATAGCGGTCACATATCCGATTTCATGCCAGCTACCGCGCTAGCATATGTTTCTGCCGCATGCAGCGCTCGTGCGCAGCCTCAGCTCGTGGATATCCACGACCGATGCGGGGTGGCATCGCCTATACATCTCTGTGCAGGAATCTTTCAGAATGCTTGGGTTACACCTTGGCAGATTGACCATTTGTGGAGTAATAGACTTTTGTTCACTTTTTGAGCGAGTTCGTTTCCTGCACATTCATCTTATATAATATACATGACCTTGCGAAAAATGGTACTACTACGGACTCAATTTTACTGGCCAGAAACCAAGTGGATCCGTTTGACGCACAATTTTTGAGGGATCTACTCAACGGATCCGCTCGTGCATTTGCAGGATGGATTTTCACGATGGTAGCATGCGCTGTGCTGAATTTGGGATCAAAATGTTGGCTGCTCTACGAATTTCGTAACAGATACACACGTACAAAGTCACAAGTTTAAACAATCATATCCCATCATTACAAAGTATGATGCTACAAGCCATACAAGACTCATCAGCTTAACCAACGCTTTGTTTTACTTTCCTGCTGTATTTGCCCAGGCCATGATCATCAACGACCGGGAGATCTCGTAAACCACTGGATAAGCAACCGAGTAGCCAGTATTTTATTTACGATGCTGATGGGGATGGAATAACGAACATCTCAATTAGTACCGCCTCTGCGGACTACTAGTCCCAACACGATGCACAACGGTAGGACGAAAGGACTGCAAGCCTGCGGAGGCGGTGCATTGAGGTGTTCGTTCCTCTACCCTGCTAGCGGGTCAGCTGAACCATTGAATATTGGTGCTGCCCAGTAAGTTTTAGTTTTCGACCGACCACTGTTTTCGTTAATGATCGCCACCACAGATTGATCTATGTCATACGCATGGTCAGCAGCTTTCAAAAGCAGTTCTTCCGCAGAAGCAGGATGGAGATGTAAGAAGTAAATCTGATGCTAAACCTTAAAAAAAAATTTGTATCACCGGAAGCTCATGATACGCTTGATTCACTATTATGCAGGAGTTCTGATACACAAGTTTACACAATTGCAGTAAACGTTTATTGCATTATTAAACGCACGTTAAATTGAAATTTAAGTTTTAGAGAACTTGTTGATTGTTTTGCGTTGCTTTTTTTCATAATGGGCTGACTGCTATCAAAAGCGAACGTGTGCCTTTTGTTTTTTCTTCGATTTCTTGCCAACATTGTGGGCAGCTTGTCTAGATTTTTTCTCACCGCTTCCACTACCTTTTGAAGTCTTTTCTTTTGCTTTTCTCTTCTTCTCTTCTATGATTTTTGTGGAAGCTTTTAGCAGTTTTATAATGCCAGATCTTTTCTGACCAAATTTTGGGGGGCTGCTTGCTTGTTTGCTGCTGTCAGGAGCTTTTTGCAAAGACATTTTTGAACCCGATGGTGGAGTTGGCTTTATGGACTCCTTTTTGTGCTTCTCTGCTGACCTTTTTCCTGCAGGCTCTGTTATCTTTGGGGTCATAAGAATTCTCTTCGGTTTCTTCTGTCTTTTCTCGAAAATGCCAAAGTCCCTTATCACTGAATCTGGAATGTCTTTTAATGCTGACGCTTCCTTTTTTGGCGTGTCTTGTTTTGGTTCTGAGTCTACCGCTTCCTTCTTCTCCTGTAAATCTGCTCTATCCTTTTGACATTCTCTCAGCTTCTTTTTCTTCTGGTCTTCGTCAAACTCCTTCCTTGCCTCTCGTGCGTCTGCTCTACCCTTTTCTTCTTCAGGTACTACCGGCATTTCTTCCTCATCTTCTGACTTTTTTCCAAACAGCTCAGCTGCAATCTTTCTTATGTCTTCTGCCTCAAGCTTTGCAATTCCCTCCTTGCTTCTTCTTTTGCTCAAAGTAGGCCTTCTCCTCACTTCCTCTAGATGCAGAGCCTCCTTTCTCGGGAGCTCTTCAGTCTCTTCAAACTCTTTGGCCGAACGTTTCTCACTTATGTTCAAATCTTCTTCATGCTCCTTAGCTGCTCTTTTCTCGCTCATCTGTGATGTCTCTAGTGCGCTTTTCTCCTCAAGGTTGCGAATATCTTTTTTGCTCTTATCATCAGCACTATCCTCCTCGGTCTTCTCAGTTTTTCTCTTCGCTAAAGCTGCTTCGTCTTTCGTATCCCAATCACTAATTATATCTCCCATAGTTGGATAGTCCTATGTTAGAGACCATGAAATGATTGAAACTGGGCGGCAAGTTGTATTGCCCTTAATTATACCCACGTCTTTGTCTCTTCGTGCTCCTTCTGCTATCAGCTTTTCCTTCTCATTCAGCTCCACCACATGTGGTTCAATTTTCTTCTAAAGATTAAGTTAAAATCAGAAAACGTAGTTCCCACATTCAGATGTGAAAACGTAGTCACTCTTTACCTTCTCTTTCTTCCCTTCTTCCCAATCACGACTCCCCGTTTGGGAGGATGGTTGTTGCGTTTCCTAAATAATTACCCTCACTGTGTTCTAATGCCTTCACCATAAAAGGGCACATTGAAGAAGTGTTGTAAAATTTCACTTGCAACGCATACCAAGACTGAAGCTTTTAGGTTTCAAATTTTCCTGTTTACTTAATGAGACTAAAGAAGTCTCCTCTGCAAGATCGTCCCCACTTTATTTGAAAAAAGACCCAATAGGTCTGTTTTCTTGTTAGGCAACCGTTTATTAGAGAGACTCGACACTACGTCAGCATAAGACTATAAACGCTGTCAGTGCGCAGAATCAAAAGCGCTTCACTCCTGAAACAATTGAGAAGTGTTAAAAAAAAGAATTGAATACGATCTGAGTTCTCATTGTCAGTGCAAACCTCGACTGCACATCACTTTGCAGAAAGCAAATAATTTCCTTCAAAAGAAAGCTTACAAAAGAGCATATCAACTCAAATTATTGAGATGAGTTATATATTACTAGGCGCGCGGTTAAACACTAGTTCCAAAAGTGCTTTCCGTTTCTCCGATGCGACTTTTCGAAAGAAGTTGTCAGCGCTTATTTTGAGTAAATGAGTGAAGTCTTCTTTTTTCCATGGAATAAATCAAATCTTTGATTGTTGCAAAAATGATTGGGATAACGGTCAAAATCGACGCCGACTGCGGAAGCAGGTATGGTCAAAGGCAAGTTTAACAGCTTGTAATTTTGCGCGTATTGTAAAATCCGAGCACGACTGCGGTTTTGAAGTGGACAGCCTCCTTATTCGACTGACCAAACCTTGGATGGTTTTCATTGTTCACTGCGAAAAAATGAAGCAAAAAGAAAAGTTGTGAAATTTTCTTCGCTGCACAGACTTCTTTCAGTGTGTACATCAAATACGGCTTGACATCGATAGAAACTGGATGCGCGTACGCGTCTTAGGCTTCTTTTACATAGTCATATAAAAAATTCTTCGTTTAGTTCAACCGAGTGCGAAAATAATGAGTGAAATGAAATTTCCAAAACTGCCCGTGAACTATCTTTACAACCTAATAATCCTCAGCAAATAAATGGTTTGTTTACAGCGCACAAATATCACATGACATCGAATTAGGTCTGTATGTATACAATATTACTCCAAACTATATTATGTTAAAAGTCTCAAAAACTTAAGTGCTGTAACACCCGTTCCCGAATGTTGGTTTCTAGACCAACGCCAAACCATCTAGACGTTCGGAGAGTAAATATTGCTCACATAAGTTTTGGACTTTTTGATTCGGACGATTACTTAAACATCTATCTTATAGTAAAGAGCGAATCGAACCCTCCCCCTCCCCCCCTCCTTTGCTCACATATGTTTTGGACTTTTTGATTTGGACGATTAGAACGCTTGAAAATCTATCTTATAGTCCAAAACTGGACCAAAAATAGTATAAACATAAGCTTTAATAGGTATCGCGCCAGCCGCACTGTTCCGACTTCTGTAGCTCATCCAACAACCACCAAAATGTGAGTATCCCATCAAATGTTGAGAAACTTCTTTTTTCCTCATGTGTGTTTGATCATTTGCCGATTACAGCTGGAAAAGCCAAGCTGAAGAACGAGTAACCTACCGAAACCTTCTTTGTCGCTTCTTCTAGGTTCGTTATCTTATCTTCTGGTGTCTTTTCACCACTTGATATTTCTGCATGATGTTCCTGCACCGGCAGCTTCTAAAAGATAACGGTGAAAGCAATCAATAAAAAAAGCTATATGCTTTCAAATCGCTGCTGGAAGGCAAAAAAATCTTGGTTTCTTAGAGGCCTTAAGGCCAGTAGAGTTCACGCGATTTGATCGTCACGATTGATCGCGACAAGACAATGTAACAATATCAGTGCATGTCTATCTTCTTGCGACTCGGTTGTCGTGACTGACTTACACAACCGAAATACAAGAAGATTGGCATGCAATGAACTCCTCGAAACACTTGTCTTGTAGCGATTTGATTGCGGCGATCTAATGGTGTGAACTCTGTCCGAGGCCTAACGTCATAATCTAGGGATATTTCAGGTCTGCATCTATCTAAAAGCCACCTTAGTCATTTTCTACCTCAAGTTACGTCAACGAGCAATTACAGTACGAGAGCATTTTAAGACTGCTACCTTGAGGATACGGTTGGGTATGGTAACTTTGACCTTAAGGCTCATGCAAGGTTAAAAGGTGATTAGGCAAAGTTTCGATTTCTAATTAAGCCTGGAAAAATGAGGCTCCGGGTCAGGAGTCATACCGCGCGCGGCGGCCTCTCGCCGCGCCCAAATTTTGTGCCTCACAAAAACTCTCCGCTGCTAAAGTGGCACGGCGCCACAGTAGGGGGGGGGGGTGTCGGCAGATACATGACTCGATGCCTTAAGTAACCTTGCGGCAGGAGTGCTGACGGGAGCTGAGGCCTGTAGTGCTTGACGTCGCCTTGCGGCGTCGCTTCGCGAAAAATCGTGACTTCTGACCCGTACTCGAAAAATGATTAAAGAGCACGCTCACGGGAGAGATGCAAGCCCAGGCGAGGCGGCGGCACGAAGCCCAGACCCAGCCAGCCAACAACTTCAATCTTTACAAAGGGTACTGCCATCTGGACTTTCAATTTTAACTTTTCATAGCAAGCTAAAGTGCTATGCATTTCTGATACTGCTGAGAGTCTCATTCCTTCATACTAGCTCTCACCGAGTGGTGAGAACTCGTATGTAGGAATGAGACTTTGCTCTTGGTTTTATCCAGCAGTAACAGCAGTAACGGCAGTGCAGAAGAGACTGCTGTAAGGGGTTAGGGTTACAGTAGCTTCTCTGTTAGTGCTGGTGATAGCGGTAACAGCACGCACAACGGGAAGAGCTAACTGTGTTAACAGCAGTAATAGCCGTAACGCCGATAGCACCAGTAACAGCCAGCAGCAGTAAGTAACATTCAGCATTCAAAGCAATATGTGGCCAATCCTAATATCAGGAGTGGCCTTACACAGGCTTTTTCTTTGTTCTCAGCGCAATTTGAATGTAAAAGCTCTAGCAGTTGTTACCATGTTTTTCGTATGTGCCGGCAATGCATCAGAAGGCAGTGAAGACGAAGCTACTGAAGCTTTTGATGCAGACACTGCGGCATTCACAGGCGTAGGTGTTTTTAATGATTGAGTAGAGCTAGCTGGTGTAAATCTGCTGTGCTGAAAACTACGACCAAATTGATGGGAAACGTTCGTTCAAAACAATTTTACCTCGCCAGTGAGCGAACGACGTAAAATTCTAGTACAACTGACGAAAACCCCTAGAAACCTTGGAAGTTTTCACGAAACCAGAGTGGAGAACTTACACGATGAAATGATTAAGATAATAAAAATCAGCCATAGAGTGTAGCCAGTAGCAGACGTGAGCTGCAAAATTGCTAAGTGACTTTAAATTGTGGAAATTTGAAATGGGTGGCATAGTCTATTGTCACACAAAGGTAGTTGCTTGAAAAAAGCTAACATCGCAAGCGCGTTAGCGCTAGAATCACTATGACGGCGCTTCCACGTTCTAGAAATGATGAAAAGATATCGGCGTCCGCTCTGCTGAGCCACCACCTTCATCCGACGGAAGAGTGCAGCATAGTGGTTTAGAAGACACGGCATACCATTTCGCAGCCACATGAACAACCGGTTAGCTAACAATGAAGCTAACCTCATCTCGCAGCCATTATTTAACTGGTCAGTGCTTACCAAAAATCTTCACCTATCAAAATGATATGGATTCAAAATTATGCTTCGAAACAAATGCCTTGTCTAGAAGAAACAGGCAACGATAGGACAATTTTGGTGTACTTTTGCGTATTCTGGTTTAGTCATGCTTGAAGATTTAGGGCTTAGGGTTGAAAGCCGAGTGGGGCTTTTTTGCAGTCAGCTGGCACCCCTCGAAAATTCAAAAAGTGCCAGCTCCCCTCTAGCCTCGTGGTGCGGGGGTTACCTCATATTACCGAAATATTAACACTTACTTATCTATCACTTATGCATAGTTTTCTCTTAGAACCATTTTATCTGCCCGATAGCTATCATAATAGCATATGCAACATCTTTACGCCATAATATTTTAATCAAAGATTTTCTAGACCTTGTATTGAAGCACTTGTAGGGAAGCATTGTTTCGTGGCTTCACAAAGTGAAAATGAGTTTCTTTTTTGAAAAATGTAGGAGTGATGTGAGGACCAAGCAGGGCTCGGCACGAGGTGGTTCTCGAATATGCAAAAAGCGAAGTCCCCTCCGACTTTCGCAAATTTTTTGAAGTCCTCTTTGAGCCACGAAAAAAACTAAAGAACCTAACCTAACTCGTGTTTTTGCAGACCGCAAAAACGATTCTTTGCTTTTGTCCCAAAACGATATCAGCTTGCTCATAAGTCAGTTATGCTGAGCTTTATTTGCACCTTCCCACCCCTTTTTTGAACCTTACACGCAGTCAAGGGGTTTTGACCACTTTTTTTTCGTTCCTCTTAACTTACCCTTTGTCGCGGATTGGGCCCCCAGCTCCCAACGTCAGTGGTGTTACAGCTCTCCTGCATCGGCGAGGGGAGCCAGGGGTCCGCTCCGTGAAAGAGTGGAACGTATCATGTGAGGTGGCTACCTGTATGAATGCTAATTGTGCCTGCCACATGGGAATTCTATACACAAGTAGAGGCCCTTGCCACCAGCCTGCTTAGCAGTTACTCGGCACCTGCGATCCGAACTATCCTCCCAACTATCGACAGTTGGGCATGTATATACAGGGTGTCCCAAAAAGATGTGCACACTGTTTGATTTTGAATAACTCTCTTATTATGAGGACTTTTGAGAAGCGGTAAGCGCCATTTTTTAGAGCTAGCTTCAACTTAGATTTACATTATGGAGCGAATCACCGACCACTCTTCATTACTGTAGGATTACGGTAATAACTTCAAAGAGGGTTTTGAGCCAAGAAAGACCATATTTTGCCCCAGAAAGGAATCAAAACAACCTAAAAACTTTTACACTAGGCTAATTAGAGTTGCTGATTACAACTGTGAAATTCCCAACTTGTTATGATGCTTCATTGAAGAGTTATGCCAGGTAAGAGGTAGCGGCCATTTTTCAGTGTTTCTAAAAAGTGCGGTTACACCGTTTAGAAAGCTTCGCAATTTTGTGAATAGTTGAGTGTTAAACTCAGCGTCCAAAAAAACCCTGTTAGACAAGTTTTCACATTTTTTTGAAAATTTTTGAAACGGCAGCTTTTCCACATTGACACCATATGTTCCAAGTTTATACCGTAATACTACAGCAATGAAGAGTGGTCAGTGATTTGCTCTATTATGTAAATCTAAGCTGAAGCTAGCTCTACAAAATGGCGCTTACCGCTTCTCGAAAGACCTCATAATAAGAGAGTTATTCAAAATCAAACAGTGTGCACATTTCTTTGGGACACCCTGTATAACCATGGCACGTAACTAGTATTGTGCCAGCCTTGTGACAGATGAATTGTACTAGGCGTGTATATAAATACACAACAATAATGATGACATGAGGTATCCCCGAAGCCACAGCCGAGCTGTGGCCCGCCGCATCTAACAAATCACACGAGTAAATGCCCACCATTTATCCACAACTAATCCCTAAACTCAAACACAATGGGGTGGAGCACAACCAGCCAAGACCTTAATATCCCTAGGGGCCACCAGTATCGAAACCCCCCGAGGAGGTGTCGCCGGCATGTGCCAGGCGCGAGCGCGCTCGGGGTTACCTCGTAGCGCGGGGTGCCAGTCCTCCGTGGCGTAGTTGGAAATGCGGTAAGTTGGGGTGGCGCTGGATCGATCGATGACGAGAGACGATTGGAACCCGACCGCTCACTGTGACGGCAGCTGCGAAGACTGAGTACGTGACTTATGCGAAAGCTGCGCAGGTAAGAGAGGTGAGAGGCGGGACAGCGCGAGGACGGCGTTTCAGGACCCCTCTTCGCACCGCGACGGCGGCCTCCTTTGAAGGAAGTCGCGAATCCGCGACACCCTTGCAGATCTTCAAGCCTTTGAAATGAAAATGGCAAGGAAAGTTTGAGTGTCCTCCCTGCTCAACCCCAAAAATGCTGCAATATTTTCCGTCTTGTAGATTCAACCAGATAACTCGCTTTTATATCTTTACTGGCGCTTGCATCGCTAAACGGGCCAAGCATACTTCACGCGATTTCAATCGCGACGCGATTTGGCTATATTCCAACTGTACATAACTCACTGTAATTATATTTCAAATGTACAGAAGATGCTCAGACAATCGCTGGGGGCAGGCGGGCACCGGAAAAATAGATTGCTGATCTCTCGCACCCCGCTCGCGGTTTTTTTGCAAAGCAATCAGGACTTTTCGGAAGACCGCTTGCTGAATCAGCGGATTTTTGAGAGACCGCTGTTGAATTTTTTTCGCTCTTATCTTTTGCAGATATATTGCAATCTCTGAGAAATCGAGAACTCAACAAGCGGTCTTCCGAAAAATCCTGATTGCTTTCCAAAAAATCCGCGAGCGGGGTGCGAGAGATCAGCAATCTATTTTTCCAGTGCCCGCCTGCCCCCGTCGATTGCCTGAGTGAGGCATTTCATCAACCCAGGTAAGTTTTGCACATTATACATGTGCAGGTTGTGTGTGTTAGATCTGAAGACTTCTGGCGAACTGCCAAATCGCGTCGAGACTGAAATCGCGTGAAGTATGCCCGACCCTAAAGCAAAGCTTTGATTGCACTTGAATGAAAATTTTTGCCAATGAAAATTCAGGGCTAAAAAAGGTTAGAGGAAAAATTAGCCGTTTTTGCTTGTATGAGAAATTCCGCAACATTCCGGTAATTTCGCGAAATCACGCAAAACACTCAGCGCCATAATATTCTTTGGTGAATATATTTTGAATCCGAGAGCAGCATTGTGTTCAGCTCGTTACCGCCTATCCAACGTAAAAGGTAACCAGTAAGTTTCATTCGATGTACTGTTCTCAGTTTATAGTGCGCTGAAAAGTACCCGCAGACTTTCTTCCAAAAAAGATAGAAGCGTTGGTGAATTCTAGGAAAATAACGCGTTTCCAAATTCTATTCGTCATAACTTTCTTCGGAAGGAATATATTCTCTGAACCCGAAAAAAGCATAGTGCTCAGCTCATCAAGGCAAATCTTTCGATTTACAGCATGTCCTTGATATTCTAATTTCCGTAACCTTTAATCTTTCTGCGGACGTCTCTTCGCAAAGGTGTAAAGCAGTGTGCATTGCCCCTAGAAGATCCCAGCAAAGATCCTTCGATAGTACTTTTTACGGAGATTATGAAGCGCTAAAAAGTGGCCGCAGATTTCTCTCCAAAGGAAATAGAAAGGGTGGTGAATTTTAGACAAATCATGCCTATCTGAATTTTGCTCACCATAACCTTAAAATATGAAGCTCTCTTGCTAAGCAGATGTGATCGTATGCAGTAGGGCGGATAATCTTTATGAGCAAGTTTTCCAAGATGTTCGGATTAGTCCATTTCCTTTCGTTTGACGCTCCAAAGCTAGTATGACATTCTGTTTGCAAATATTATGTTCAGTCCGCCCAAGGAATCCTAGTGTATTGATTATGGTGGTGCATGATTTGGTGATTTCGTGAAATTCCAAAATTCCAAAAATGTCATGGTTTCGCAGATTTCCCAGAATTCCGCGGATTCATGGAAATTTTACACATTCTGTGAGCGGTATTGTATTTTAGCCTTGGTGAGTGCGCCTGAGAATCAAAAAATGTCTTCTAAATCAGCTTCAAAACCATTTTCACGATTCGGTCATGATAGATGCTCTTTTACAGGTCTCTTAATTGACAAATGTTTTTTACTTAGACGGTTTTGCATGTCTGGAATATCACAATCGATTTCGAATGTAAGGTCGTTGCTTGTGTACATGCATTTTTCGCAAGCACATTTTCGTATTTCGTAAAAGAACAAACCCTTGTAAATGCAATTAGGAGAGTGTGATAGTGCAAAATGTGCTCTACAATGTCTTTGGAATGGTTCAAAAAGGCTTTGAGTTCACTCAGCTGCAGAGCAAAATATTAATGTGTGTAAATCCCATTTTTTTTCAAAACTGTTAGTCTGTTTCCTTCAATTTTCACACTCTTGAAAGGAGTTCTTTTTGAATTCTATAAAATGCTTTCTGTAATGTTTGATTAGGGCATTTACTACTTGAATCTGAGCTTATATTTCTCGGCGTTATGTCGTGGCAGTATCGTGAAGTTGGCGCAGGTAATTTTGGCGCACCCTGTATGTACGAACAACTTCCTCTTATACAGGGTGTCCCAAAAAAAATGTTTCGAACGTTTGATCGTTAATATCTCTTTTCCCAAGAAGTCTTTTGCCTTGCTTCAGGTACCATTTTGTAGAGCTGGCTTCAACTTAGATATTTGCAGTATAGAATGAATCACCCATCTCTCTTCATTACTGTAGGATTACGGTAGAAAGTTGAAAGAGGGTTTTGGGCCATGAAAGGCCATATTTTGCCTCAGAAAGGAGACAAAACAGCCTGAAAACTTTTACACTAGGCTAATTAGAGTTGCTGATTCTAATCGTAAAGTTTCCAACTTATTGTGATGCTTCATTGAAGAGTTATGCCAGGTGAGAGGTAGCGGCCTTTTTTTTTCAATGTTCCTAAAAAGTGCGATTACACCGTTTAGAAAGCTTCGTAACCTTGTGAATAGT